TGGCTGAAGAATGTATGTGAGGGTTCCCGGCTTAAGAGTGAACAAACATCCTTGTCAGCTTTTTTTTTTTTTTACTAAACAATTTTTTAAGATCACCTACACCATAATTGTACAAGACCGAGGTGATAATAATCATCTAAAACATGGGCTGAGACTACAGCTCAGTGGTAGAGCACTATTGGGGTTTGTGAGGCTCTGGGTTCAGTTCTTATCCTCACAAAAATCTGTCTAAAACTAATGATGAAGAAAACTTGAGGACTGAATTTCCATTCACTAGGAAGCTCTGGGGTCACTTTCCCTCAGCCCTGCCAGGCTTCTGCAGTTGGTGATTTCATCTTTGAAATGGTCCCTGTCTTTCTGACTCCTGCACCTAAAACTGTATATCCTCCTACTGTCCCCACCAAGGCTCCTGGGAGACAGTGGGACCCGGAAGAAGAGAAGCATGCTGGGAGGAAGTGAGGTCATGGGCTGTGTCTCTGAAGGAGACACTGAGATCCTGTCCTTTCTCTAAACCCGTGTGTGTGTGTGTGTGTGTGTGTGTGTGTGTGTGTGTGTGTGTGTTTATCCGTGTGTCTGTCCGTGTGTGTGTGTCTGTTTTTCTCTCTCTCTGTCTGTGTGTTTCTCGCTCTCTTTGTTTGTCTCTGTGTGTGTTTCTGTACGCCTGTGTTTCCTGGCCCAGCGGAGGTATGTGAGCTTCCTCCACTGTGTGTCCCCACCATGACTGCTCACCACAGCCCAAAGCAACAGGGCCAGCCCTGAGTCAAACCTTAGAGACGCAAGTCAAAGCAAACCTTTCCTCCTTTTCAGATGACGAGCTCAGGTATTCTGTCCCAGCGACAGAAAGCTAATCCACCCGTGACGTTATGCACCAGGCTTAGATGGTTCCTGTGTGACCTAGTGCAGACACTGGGGTCTAGATTCCCCCAGTTCCTGGGATTTTCAGCTTTGCCCTCAGCCCCCTTCCTCATTAGGCATTCCCCTCTAATCTACAGCTGCGTCTTCCTTCTCCGCATCTACAGCTGAGCCTACATTTCCTTTCCTTCCAAGCCCCCCAGTAGGAAACTTCCTGGAGGCCGAGCTTTCGGTGTCAAGCTTATTTGTGTCAGAGTTTGTGTCCAGCGGAGATGTCATAGGTCAGCAGTAGGAACTAAGGGCACCTGGCATTTCCTTTGCAGATGACTTGTGTCTAAGAGACGGGCAGAGAAGCACTCTTGTCCCCTACACCTGCAGCCTCTCACAGACCAGGTCTCGTCAGTCATCTTTCATCTATCAGGAAATATTTAACAATCCATTGTCCTTGTGTGTGTGTTTGGTTATCGTTACCGGTATTCAGCTTGAAAGAGGTCAGCCCTGGCTGGGACCACCAGCGCACCGGAACTGAGCTTCGCCCTGTTACTCTCAGGGAACACAGTAGGCTATCTTCCACTTCCCCGTGACACTTTGGAAATTGTTTTTGCACGGATGTGTGAAGATGCTGCCATTCCACCCATCTACGCAGATCTATGAAATCTGCACATGCAGCTGGTTTTAATTTCTGCTGGCAGAGGTCTGTGGAGCTCCACTCCCGGAGGCCTGGAGAGGGCTCATGCCGCCTCCCCATCGCTGATTCTTGCTCTCAGTGTGCTCTGGTGTCCCCCGACCTCTCCCATCATTGATTCCTTCTCTCAGTACACTCTGGTATTCCCCGAGGTCCCCATGGCTGATTCTTGCCTTCAGCGTGCTCTGGCGTCCCCCCAGCTCTCCCATCACTGATTCTTTCCCTCAGCATGCTCTAGTGACCCCGAGGTCCCGAGGTATGAATATGTTCGAGGCACACTCAACCTGTGCTGTTCTGCCTGTCAGTGGGTGAACAGAGACAGGCCTGGGAAGGCCTGAGTGACAGGGTAATTAGTGCTAGGCAACAGCGAGGCATATGCATCGTCTGTGCGAGCTTGTTTGCTAATTGCCAACACCAGATTTTCTGCGCAATTAGATGTTTGGTGTCTTCCAAGACCTTCTGTGCAAATGTGGACACAGGGCCTCAGGCCTTCAAGGTAGCAGGTGGAGAGAGCATGGCTCCTGGGCGGATGGTGGCTCTCCCGAGGTTGCCCCAGGGACTTTGTATAGGACGGAACCATCATCAACGAAGGAGTGCCTGGCTCAGCCCCAGCAAGGACACACAGAATCCTTGGCGTTTATTAAAAGAGGTTCCTGGTGCTCAGACATGAACAACACTGCGGTGTCCAGCAGGCTAGCTGAGGAGTCACCTCCTTCTTCAGGAGCAGTGGGATGGCAGGCCAGGTGGCATACACCTGCGCTCAGGGAGGCAGAGGCAGGCGGATCTCTGTGAGTTTTGAGGCCAGCCTAGTCTAAGAAGTGAGTCTAGGACAGCGAAGGCTACACAGAGAAACCCTGTCTCAAAAAAACAAAAAAACAAAACAAACAAACAAACAAAAAAACAAGAAAAAGGAAACAAAAGGACAGAATGTGGGTACTGATGGGAACAGGAAATGTGTTCGCCGATAATCAAGGTGAGCTGTGGTTTTAGAGAAGGCCTTAGGCACTCCATCCAGGCTGCCACCTGCGGAGGGCCTTGACCACCTGACCCTGAGGAGCACCACCAGCCCGAGGAGCATGTTTAATGAGCACTTTTTCCTGTGATAGAGTGCACACGGCACCGCTAGTGGAGCGGCCTGGCCTGGGTTGGTGGCGTGTGTGTCACAATCCTCGCTGATTATTCCCGAAGCTCTCTATTGCCCTGGGCAGGAACTCACCTCTCATCCACTTTCTGTCCCTTCGGTTTCCTCTCCTGATCGTGTACAGGTGAAATTACTGAGCACATACGCTTTCACGCCCAGCTCATTTGCATAGCGTTGTGGCTCGTTGATATTATGGCGTGTGTAGGAACGTCAGGCCCTTTGTACGCCGCTGTGCTGTGCCCAGTGCTAGTCCCTGGTGTTGGGGGACAACGCTTGCCTTCTCACCTCTCTGCTCATGGTCACCCGGGCTTGTGTCCACCTGTGGTTACTGTGAGTCCTGTTGCAGTGAGCCATCACAGACAAGTCTCTGCGAGTCTGTCCTCAAGGCTCTAGTAGCTACATGGCTGGATCATAGTTATTCTGTATATGACATTTCAAGGAGCAGCCAAACCAACCGTTTTCCCTAGCAGCTGCCTCATTTACATTCTCACCAGCAAAGTGCCAGAGTTCCAATTTCTGTACTTGTTTTTCTTTCCTTTTAAATTAAGATTATAGTCATCCTGTGGGGGAAGTAGCATCTCACTTTAGTTTTTGGTGGCCGGTTGGCTTTGAACTTACAGAGATTGATGGGCTTCTGCCTCCCAGGTGCTCTCATTGTAGTTTTGACCTGCATTTCCCTGGTGGCTAATGAAGTTGACCATACTGTCCTAAACTCACTGAGCCTTCTGGGAAAGAGAAAGGCCATGAGCCCAGGTAGGAAGTGACTTGCAGGTATGAGACTTCCCATTCTGTCTTTCATGATCCATTCCACTGCTCAGCCTGTGCGGGAGCCACTGGAGTGATGCCTTTGAATTCCCACCAAGTAGAAAAGATCATTCTGCCAGAGCCTGGGATGAGCACAAAGTGGTTTACCAGATGGAGCTATTCCTTCTCCCCCGAGGGGAGAGTCTTTCCCAGACAGAGCCTGCCCCCCGAGTGCCCACACTGAATTCAGCTGCTACTGAAGTAGAGGGTACTCAGAGCAGCGCCTGGTCCCTGCTATGGGTGGGTGCAGCACCTGGCTGCCGCCTCCCTGATTGGTTGGCAGCTTCTGGCAGCCATCTTTGCTTGGTTGCTTTGGGGCCCTGCCAGCCATGGGCAATGGCCATGAGGGTGATATGGAACCTGTAAGCGCTGACCAGGGTCAGGGTGCCCTGTCCTTCGGAGCCCCTGAGGCTGCTGCAGAACAAATGTCTGTACTTGAATCATTGCAGCAGGACCAGCAGTGGCATGAGATTCATGGCACTTGGTCATTGGTCCATCTTCAGTTTGACCTAGTGTCCCTATGGGGACCTGTCCCAGGGCCAGGGAAGCTAACCCAGTGGCTGTTGGCTTCCAGTCTCTTCCTCCTGAATGCAGGAAACCTCTTGCGTCCCTGAAGACACGAGGTCATGTGCTTTGAGGGTTTCATGTTAGAGAGGGGCAGGTGATGGTCTAGCCTCCGGATGCTGTCCCTGGGAGCTGCTCTTATGCCCCATGTTCCGTAGGCAAGAGTTCCCTGGGGCAGGGGTGTCCCCTGCAGCTTTGGGACCCCAGGGCTGTGGACGCTTCTCCAGAGGAGCACTGGCCCCTCTCTGGTGCTGTTGCAGTAACTCCTTCCAGGGAGGCGTGAACAGCCCGTCTCTCTGCCTCTCAGTTAAGACGTCCCGGTGACTGTGATTGCTTCAAGGACGAGGTGGGGGTAGTGACAGAGTACGGGTGTGGGGTCCCCTCACTGGAACATCTTTACCAAGCATGTGGACGATGGCTTTCCTGGCCACCAGAGGCGCCCTTCCATTAATGGTCCCCAGACTGTGTGCTCCAGCACTTCCCCAGACCCCAAGGCCATTGTGGCTGGGGCAGAATGGCCTGCAAAGGCTGGGGTCTCTGGGGATGGTCCTGGGGGCCCCTTGTTCTATGAGGGGGAGCTAACAGTCCACACCCCACAGGGTGGGCCCCGGCGAGCAGCCACAGCTGCTCTGATGAGGTGCATCACTGCTTTCCTCAGAGGACCACGCTCCACCACAGATGACTCGGGTGCTCTGATGCTCAAGTGCTTGGAGTCTGCACTGCCGAGCACTTGGCCAGGAGCTGAGCCCTCTGGCACAGAGCAGCATCTCCTGCCTAAGGGAGGAGGCATAGTGACAGTCCTGTGGTCACTCAGAAAAGAGGGGTGCTGCCTTCCCTGCTCGGCGGGACAGCAGCCTCTCCCTGTGTGGAGGGCAAAGCCTCCCAGGCTCCCTCCCTGCTCTCTGGGCTGGCCCGTGTTCCCCTCAAGAAACTAATTTCTGTCTTTCCTTTCAGAACCGGCTCCCACATCTGCGTATTCCTCCCCAGCCCGGAGTCTCGGGGACACAGGGATAACACCTCTGTCCCCCTCCCATATCTTGGTAAGTAATGCATGTGAGTGTACATGTGCCTGTGGTGGCTGCCTGTGCAGCTGTGTGTGAGCGTGTGTGTGTGTGTGTGTGTGAGCGTGTGTGTGTGTGTGTGTGAGCGTGTGTGTGTGTGTGTGTGTGTGTGTGTGTGTGTGTGTGTGTGTGGTGGCTGCGTGTGCAGCTGTGTGAGCATGTGTGTGTGTGTGTGAGCGTGTGCAGGTGTGTGAGCGTGTGTGTGTGTGTGTGTGTGTGGTGGCTGCGTGTGCAGGTGTGTGAGCATGTGTGTGTGTGTGTGTGTGTGTGTGTGTGTGAGCGTGTGTGTGTGTGTGTGTGTGTGTGTGGTGGCTGCGTGTGCTTTCTGCAGCCCTTCACACCCCCTCGTTGCGTGCACGTTGTTGCGGTAGAAGCATGTACACTTGGGTTTCCCCACCCCAGGCCTGGAGGCTCCCTGAGGTGTGGCTGGCAGTGGCTGAGGCCAGCCTGGACGGTGGTGTGAGCGCGCGGTCTCGGCCCTTGAGAGGCAGCGTGTCCTACCTACGGAGGCAGAGAAATGGAGTGAAGCAGCAAACCACAGGGCTGTGCCCTCGGAGATGCTCTCCGTGGTCCAGACCCCGTGGCCCGGGAATGGCCCCTCGGTCCTCTTGAGCGACAGGAGCAGTCCTGTGGTCCTGCGGGCCTGTGGTCCTGGGCCAGGCTCAAGCACAGGACAGGTGGGGTGCAGCCCAAGGAAGGTAGCTTTGCATTAGCTGTCCACAGCCACGAAGGCTCTGGTGAGGAGCACAGGGAGCCCGGCTCCTTAGGTGTGCTGGCTCGCTTTCGTCTGTCCCGGAGCCCTCTCCTGTCACCTGGAAGGCCTGCAGTGGCCGGCTTACATCTGGCAGTGCTAGTACAAAATTTGCCGCTTTATCATTTGCACTTCTTCGGGGGTTAAAAGAGAAGAGAAGGAAAGGGGCTGCATTTCGCTTCAGAGAGAAGATAAGCTTGAACACTTGAAGTGGCCTCACAGATAAGGATCGGCCTAGGCCACGGGGCCCAGGGCCGGAGGTCATGTGACAGGTGTGTGCGCTCAGAGTCCATGCCTGGACGTGTCCATGTAAGGTCCGCACGGCAGCGGGGGAGGAGGCACGGTGAGTGCCCTGTGTGGTGCCGGGTTCTGCCAGGACTCGGGAACTGGAGGAGCAGAGGTTGTGTCTACACCAGCAGACCCTCTGCTGAGGCTCTGCCCCCTCGTAGCTTTTAGCCGCTAGCTGTGTGCTCAGCAGATGAAGGGAAGCATCTTAAGGTGGCACCCTCAGCCAGCTGACCTGACCCCTGCTGGGGCCGCCTTCCTGCCCCTCCAGGCCGCTCAGGGTGGAGGCCAGCCTGCGTGAGCCAGGGCTATGAGCCAGGATAGTGCGCCAGGGTAGTGAGCCAGTGAGTAGGAGTAGTGAGCCCGGGTGGAGAGTGAACCAGGGCAGTGAGTGACCCAGGTTGGTGAGCCCAGGTAGCCTGCCTGCCGGGAATGCCAAACTGGGGGGGGGGTGGAGGCTCTTCCCAAGGGTGAGGCCTGGCACCCACACTCCCCATGCTCTTGTAGAACGACACAGACCCGGTCTCGGAGCAGCAGGCGTTTCTTGTGGTGGTGGCCATAGACTTCGGCACCACGTCCAGCGGCTATGCCTACAGCTTTACCAAGGAGCCCGAGTGCATCCATGTGATGAGGTAAGTGCTGAGATGGGGCGTCACACCTGTGTGGGGCCACTCGCGGGGTGGTCTGGGAGCCGGGAAGAGCCATCTGGGCCCAGGTTCCTCCTGACATCTGCCTGCAGGTTCCCGTCAGCCATCGCTGTGGCTCGTCCACAGGCAGGCTGGGAGCGCTGTGCAGTGCAGCTGAACCTCAGCCAGGTCACTTCCCGGCTCTGGCCCGGGTGAGAGGGGCCCCGTGCAATATCTGTAACAGACGCCACCCGAGGGCCAGCTTGGTGACTTCCTGTGCGATTCTGGGCAGTCCTGAACCTGCGACACCTCTGTTTCCTCACCTCTGAGGTGGGGATAAAGACAGGATCGGCCTCATGGGCTGTTTGTGCAAATTTAATGAGGCATTTTCTGGGCTAAGTCAGCACACGTGAAAAACGTAAGCAGGAAGGTGCCCGCTCGGGCCGTGTGGAAACACCAGGCCACTGGGAGAGCAGGGGCGGGGCCTCACCCTGGTGACCCCGGGTTGCCCTCAGTGCCTGGCCCGCGTCAGTGGGGACACCGGCCTTTCCTGTCCAGTCTTCAGGCATCCTCCCACAGTTCCGGAGACTCAGGACTTGTGACTTTTCCCAACTAGGGGATGATTTTAAGATCTCCGAAGCCATCGTAGGGACTCACAGCAAGTGTGCATGGCCTGGCGTGTCCAGCCTGCAGCAGCTGCCGTGGCCACACTTGGCCTCAGATAGCTCTGAGTGCGGCCCGGCACAAAATCAAAGCCTCGCTTAACACTTGAAGAGGTGTTTGCTTTCGTTCTCCGCAACTCCACTGCGGGTTCCTTGAGTGTGCGCTTTGTAAAGGACACCGCCATTGGCAGTGTCAAACGTCACACGTGCTCCACGAAACTCAGCCTCCTCTTGAGAGCCAGGGGTGGCTCAGCCCGAGGCTGCCTCATCAAGAGGGTCTGGGGAGGCTCCCTGGGTAAAGGGCTTCCTGGGCGGGTGTGAGGGCGTGAGTTCAGGTCCCAGCACCCATGTAAAAGCCAGGCACAGCCCTGAGGTGTGGTTCCAAACCCCAGAGCCCACTGGCCAGCCCCGGAGTGTGACTGGTGAGTGTCTTGTTCAGTAAGAGACACTCTCAAAATACAAGGTGGGAACAATTAAGAAAAATGTCAGTGTTAACCTCTGGCCTATGTACATATGTGTGTGCGTGCGTTCTCATGCACACTCACTCAGCAACCGTATACACCACACAAATGAAAAATGAATAATGGGAAGCCAGTTTTGCTCTTAAAAACATAAAATATTTATTTTTATTCACTAATGATGTGAAGGCTGGGACAATGCACATGCCAAGGTGCCTGTGTGCTGCAGGGAGCATGTGGAGGTCAGAGGGCAACTCGCAAGAGTCCGCTCTCTCTCCCCGTCACACGAGTCCCAGCAGGGAGGGAAGTCAGGTCATCAGGCTTGGTGGAAGCCCCTTTACTGGCTGAGCCCTCTCACTAGCTCACTAGCTCACTAATCGGCCCTCACGCTGCAAGGCCCCCAGAGCTGTGTACACATTGTGTAGCAGTTAGAGAAACAGAAAACTCCAGCCAGGAAGAACACCTGCCTTTCCCAGTGACACACACACATAGTAGGTACTCAGCAGTGCTATGATGACTCGGCTGGGTTCTCACACTCCTGTAACCTTGCTCTCCCTTGGTGACAGGAGGTGGGAGGGCGGTGACCCTGGCGTCTCCAACCAGAAGACCCCGACAACCATCCTGCTGACGCCAGAGAGGAGGTTCCACAGCTTTGGGTATGCTGCCAGGGACTTCTACCATGACCTGGACCCCAACGAGGCCAAGCAGTGGCTGTACTTGGAGAAGTTCAAGATGAAACTCCACACCACAGGGGTGAGCTGGCCTGCCTGGGGAGCTCAGCACCCTCCCCCCCCGGGGTCCCCCGTCCATTCGTGGGCTCACAGGCCCTCCCGGCATGTTGCGGTATTCAGTTGTTTGTCTGTGAAGCTGGCAGGCCAGGGAGCCTCCCAGCTGTGATGAGGGTGTGGGGTGTCACAGGCGTGGGGTGCCGCCCCCTTGCTGCCCGAGCTGTTGTTGGGAAACCTTCTATCCACTGAGATCAACTTGTGGCTGAAGACCTGAGCAGTGGGTCAGGGCTGTGGCAGTTAACTGATGGGTTTAGATGTGATAGCAGCCACGCCGCCCCCGTGTGTGGCGCAAGAAGCTAAAAGCAAGTGGAAGTCATTAGAGGCAGAATGCAGATGGGTGGCCTCGCGTCTAAAACCCTGAGCAAGCCAGCATTCTGCTAGGTGTCCTGTCAAACAGGCATGTCCCCCCAAAGCTGCCCGGGGAAGGTAGGAGCTGGATGAAGACCGTAGGTTCTGGGCCACATGCCTAGGGTTTCAGTTCCACCCCTGATTCCTCCAAGACACGCAGTCCAAGCCAGTGACCCGGCCATACCTCACTGTACTTTCCGTTCTAAAAATGTACTCATTATTTATTTATTTTGATAGTTTTTATTGATTCTTTGTGACTTGCACCCCATGCACCCCAATCCCACTCATTTTCCAGTCCTTCCATATCTGCCCGCCACCCTTCTGACTTCCCTAGCCCAAACACCATCTCGCCACAAAGCTGTGGTGTGTAACAGTGTGTCACACAATCTACCCTCTTGCTCAAACGGCTTTACTTGCACGTGTTCATTGCAGAGAGTCATTGGTCTGTTTCGAGGCCTCTGGCTTCTGCTACACTATCAGTACTGGGCCTCACCAAGACTCCTTGTGGGTATCCTGCTGTTGCCCTGAGTCACAGAGGTCTTGCAGCTTTGGTCTGCAGGACTGACCCCTATGGCTCCAGTGGCTCATAGGTGGGCTAGGTATTGGAAAGGACAAAGTGTGTTAGCAGAGTTGGTCAGCCGCCAGCTCTCCCTCACTGCCCTGGTGAGGATCAGGGCCAGCTGTCCCTCACTGCCTAGGTAAGGATCAGGGCCAGCTGTCCCTCACTGCCCTGGTGAGGGACAGGGCCAGCTGTCCCTCACTGCCTAGGTAAGGATCAGGGCCAGCTGTCCCTCACTGCCTAGGTAAGGATCAGGGCCAGCTGTCCCTTACTGCCTAGGTAAGGATCAGGGCCAGCTGTCCCTCACTGCCCTGGTGAGGGACAGGGCCAGCTCTCCCTCACTACCCAGGTGAGGATCAGGGCCAGCCCTCCCTCACTGCCCAGACGAAGGACAGGGCCAGCTTCTGAGCCTGTGTCACCAGGGTCAACATTTTAAAAATGGAGACAATTACAGCATCTTATTCACTAGGAGAGTGAAAGAATCAAAGTGATGGAAATACACGATGCTCCCAGAGGAGGGAGAGTTCTGGTCAGATAGCAGCTGTGTCAGCCATCGAAGGGTCTACAGAGGTAGCAGGAGAGCCAACGCTGGCACCTAGCCTTCAGGCTCCAGTCTTATATGAGGCTGCTTTCTGTACCATAGATCAGCTCTGACTGGAAAGGACTCGCCCTCTTTCTCCTGATAGGACTTCATGCCAATTGTCAGGATTTGGCAATGGATACACAGAGCTTCTCAGGACTCAGCTGCCTCCCTGACCTTAGAATCCAGAAGCTGAGCATCTTTGCTGGGCACCAGGGGAAGAGGGTGCTGGCTGGAAGCAGAGCACATGAGCGGATGGTGCAGGATATAACCCAGGATTCCACAAGGACCCATTAGTAACTCGTGGCCCTGCCTCAAAATGAAGGCAAAAGCCTGGTTATCTAGCTTGCATTAGTGTGATGCCCACTGATTAATTTGTCCCTGACACTAATAAGCAGGTTAGTCCAGGGGCTCCCTTCCATTCTCCACCTGTCCTTCCCCCCAGGGATCCTGTTTATCATTTTTCGATGACCTCTTTCACCCACCATCTGGCCTCTGCACAGTATCCTCTATGGGAGAACCGGTACAGCAGCTGCTTTGGCTTCAGGCAGAGCCGCAGAGGCTGCAATGCCTGGCTTTCAGCAGATTAGACAGAACCAGCCTTAAAATAGGAGCTCGTCTATTTTAGTGACTTGGCTGGCAGCTCACCAGGGAAGGGGAGATTGGTGTGTGTCAGCATCCTACTTGGCAGTGAAGGGGTATGATTTAAGCTGCTATCACGGGGCTCCCAAGGGTGACCGTGTCTGGAAGTTGCATGTAAATTGCACTGGGCTTGGCACCTGCTACCCGTTCCCAGAACCCGCTGTTGGCCAGAGACACCTGCTTCCACAGATCCAAGAAAGGGAGATAGGAAGGAGGACACAGTGAAGGTGGGGCCTGCAGAGAACAGCCAGCGCTCGCATAGAGGGAGGAATGTTGCTGCCAGGCCCCTTTCGGGATACACCATTGTCTCTGTCCCTCTAAACACAGGGATCCGGGATTGCACTGGTCCTCCAACAGTAGTTCCCAAAGCAAAGGCAGGGTTCTCCTCCTTACTGCCACCTCATCCCCGCCCTCCAGGACCTCACCATGGACACAGACCTGACAGCAGCAAATGGCAAGAAAGTCAAAGCCCTTGAAATCTTTGCATACGCCTTGCAGTACTTTAAGGAGCAGGCACTGAAGGTGAGTCTGAGGGATGGCATTAGGCCGGCTAAGGGCCACTGCCCCTGCCAGCTAGCGGGAGGTTCTCCTGCAGGGAGAGAATGTGGTTCAGCATTTTGGAACAAATTTGGCAGTTCCTAAGAAAGATAAACACAGAGACAGGACCCAGCAATTCCACTCCTAGGGAAGTGAAAACATGTACATAAAACTGTTTACGTGAGAGTTCACATCAGCGCTATTCATAAAAACTAAAAAAGAAGAAACAGGTCAGATGTCCATCAGTTGATCTGCAACCTAATGTGGTATGTCTGTTCAGTAGAATATTATTTAGCCACGAAAAGAAATGAAGTAATGATACATGTTACAGTTGGTTAAACCTTGAGAGCATCATGTAAAATAAAAGAAAAAACATACAGAAGCCACATCATATAATTCCATTTGAAACATTCGTAACAGGTAAATCCAGAGACGAGAAGACTAGTAATTCCCAGGGATCTGGGGGTGTGGGAATGAGGGGTGTGGGTGATGAAGTAAACGAGAGGAGCCAGGGCGCCCAGTCTCCACGCTGCCCTGGTGGGACGGCAGACGCAGACTCCTGGAGTTCGTGGTAAAAGACTGCTCAGCCACGCGTGGTGTCCGGGCAGCAGAGGCTCCTCAGCTGCTGTTTACTCTCTTGGTGTCAGGAGCTGAGTGACCAGGCAGGGGCGGACTTTGAGAACTCTGACGTCAGATGGGTCATCACCGTGCCTGCCATCTGGAAGCAGCCAGCCAAGCAGTTCATGAGAGAAGCTGCCTATCAGGTGAGGGGCCACAGGAAGGGGCCCGGAATTCCCACAGCGTGACTGTGCTCAGATATCTCCCGGCGTGCTCCAGCTTCCTAAGGAAAACGGGAAGGGACAGGGATGAGGAGTCTGCTTGCGGCTGTTTTCAGCCTAACAGAGGGATTTCTGTGTTAGGTTTCCACTGTAAATTTCTGGGGATGGATTTCAAGCTGGGGTTCAGAGACATTTCCTGTAGATGAAGGATGAAAAACTTGAGGAAAAGCCTTGGAAACAAGAATGTTTGTGTAAGAAAGGAACAGGCAAGGTTGTTGGCTGGGGCCCAGGCATTTCGGCTTGGCCAGCAGGCTGCAAAAGGCCACCTGCAGCTGGGGAACTGAACTGGCCTCTGCTCACTGCCTGTCAGAGCCACAGGGAAGCATGCAGCTCTCAGAGCAGGTGAGGGCTAACAGTGCTGGCAGGTGCCCGTGCGAGGGCAGCAGCGTGGCTCCGTGGTGTGCCAGTCAGTGTCAGAGGTAGCACTCTCCTGCGCTTAGTGACCAGCCATCAAGGGTCCACCCATGCCGTAAACACTCACGGCCTCTGAGGTGCTTGACATTGAATGCCAGCTTGATGAGATGTGGCAATAACTGGTGGGCAGAGCCACCGTACCTGCAGGTGGCACTCCTGGGCAGGAGTCCTAGACTGGATGGACAGAGAGCTAAGCACGCTGGCACTCATCCCCCTGCTTCCTGATGGGGCCATGCCACCACAGCCTCGAGCCCCGCACCGTGCCCTTCCCACGGCGACGGTCTGTACCCTCAAACTGTGAGCCGGAGTAACCCTGCCACCCTGCAACTACCTTTGTCAGGCAGTTTGCATCAGCAGTAGGAAACGTGACTAATACCACCCCCACTGTCAGACAGCTTGTGCCCAGCCTTGTCCGTGACAGGCACAGCTAGCCACGTGCACTGCTTCTCCTGCCCCAGCACAGAGCTGGCCTTGGCCAGGCATAGGTCAATGCTCTGCCTTGACAGTGGGTCCCAGCTAGGGACATCAGTGCATTCCATGTGTCCTCTCAGGAGGCACCGCGCCCACCTTTCTCAGGGTGTCACTTCTGATGTCATGTTAGGTCTCAAAGGGCCACGGAATCACTGAGATCCCCAGCAGATGGTAACGTGGCTCCATTGCTGAGCACCATGGGCTCTGCTCAGCACTCACGGCTTTACCCGGCACAGCTTGTAGAGCTCAGCTTGTACAAGGTCAAGGGTGGATTATCCCTCCCCTCTGTGTCCCCTTTCCAGGACCTTTTCCTCCACTCTCTCCTTCCTCTGTGCAGTGTGAGAATCTGGCTCTGTGTATGAAGCTGCCAAAAATAGATTTGCTTTTATAGGGATGGAGGAGGAGGGTGGAGTTCCAGAAAGAGAGGACTTCTGTAGGAAGAGGAGCGGGTGGGTGCATCGCAGTTATTTACATGGGACCTGGGCAGCACTCCCCGGGGATCACTTCCTGTGGTGTTCACAGATGGGCCAACAGAGCATGTCATTTGCTCAGGCTGTGCTGGGCTTGAGCTGTTCCCAGGAAGGACATGCAAGATTCATGGCCTCAGCTTGCCTCCCCAGCCACAGGAAGACTTCAGCAGCGAGTGTGCGACCTGGAAAGGGGTCAGGTCTTATTTTTAGACTGGGGAAAGAGGGAGGCATGGTGGCGGGTCAGTTGTCAGGCTGTGCAGCCCTGGCCTGGCTTGCTCTAGGACAGAGTCCCTGAGTGGGCAGGATGAGCGGCATCCCTGCCTGTCTAGAGGAGGGCACTGCATTCTTGACGCTAGTTATGGCGGCTCATCCCTGAAAACTCAGCACTTAGAAGGCTGAGGCAGGAGGATTGGTTTGTGTAGAGTATGCAGGACATTAGGAACTGTCTTCCGGGGCAGGGTAGCCTTCATTTGGTAGTGTTCTGGCAGCACTGGCTTTGACCTTTTGTAGTTCTGCTTTGATACTTCCACTCAGTTCACAGACCAAGTGGGTGTGAAATGACCGCCTTATTCAGCCTCATCTCTTCTACACAGGTCCCTCTGCCAGGCTCTGGAAGGCACTGGAGGTGACAAGCTGGCTGAGTTAGGGCCTGCTCACGGAGCCAGGGGCTTAGAGTTAGGAAGTTAGAGGGTGCCCTCGGGGCAAGGCTGGTGTGCGCTGCCTGCAATGCCTTCTAAAACAGTTCCAGGAAGACTGGGAGCGCAGCACCCACCATCCCTCCGCCACAACCCGATGCCTTTCTAAGCAGAGCGAGGAAGGTCCAGACCTATAAAGGCGAATTTTGCAGGTCAGCCAACGGGTCAGTTTACCCAGATGCCTGGTTAAGAGGACGTTCTTGGCGCTCCTTGAGGGTGTTTTGAATGTCGTCATCTATCTGTTCAGAGTAAAGCAGACGCCTCTGAAGCATGGACAGACCTGCTCTAGTCAACTGAAGGCTGGATGGGGCAAAGAGGGAAGAAATCCGTGCTGCCTGCCTTTGAGCTGGGATGTGTTTTTTCTTTTCTTCCCTTTGGAGGCAGACAGAAATACCAGCTCTTCTTGGACCTTGAACCTGTGTCCTTTGGACAGGAGCTCTCAACTAGCTCTCCTGGGTCTCCAGCTTTGGTGACCATGGCGTTCGTCAGGCTCTGTAATCATGAGCAAAGCCCTTGTAGGAGGTCTCCTGCTGGGTGGCTGAGTGTCCTGCTTGCACTGCTTCCCTGGAGAACCCTGGTTAGTACATGTGCAAAGCCAGACTCTGAGCCCAGTGTCTGAGGATGCCCACAGGGGCCCTGACCCCACACTCGGGCCTTAGACAGACGGGATTACTTCCTCCTCTGTGGGGGTAGCTGCCTGCCAGCCCACCCCCAAGAGCGACTTCAGAGTGACGCAGAAGCAGTGCGCCCTCAGAGCATTAGGAAAACCGGGCATGCTGTTCTGATATAGGGAACATGGCAGCGCTCCCTTAAGCGTTTAGAAGACGGAGTAGAAGTTTATGGTGCATTCACCTGCCAGAGAGGGGGAGGGAGGCAACCCAGATAGAGCAGAGCTGGAGTGATCTCAGTGGAGCATCCTCCAGGCTGAACCAGGTCCAGGGCCTCTGCCTGAGTCAGTGCCCATGAGGGCTGCAGAGCTGGGCACACTGATCCACTTCATCTGGGGACCCTCTGGGGCCTGTCTGCTCTCAGTCCAGGGAGAAATAATGTGTCAGAGCTCAGTCCCTCAGGTTTTGCACACTCAGGACAGCTATGGATCCTTGCAGAGCAGTCAGCGGTAAGATGGCAGCAGAGAGGATGGCGGGGTGTTCCTGTGAGGCCTTCAGGAAAGATAGAATGGAGAGAAAGAAACACAGAGACAAAGACAGACAGACACAGACAGACAGAGAGCGAGAGAGACGGACAGACAGATAGACACAAAGACAGAGAAAGGCTGAGTCTCAGGGGACTGTGAACAGGAAATTGTCCGGTTTTATTTCAGAGGTATTTTGCATAAACTGTGTAACTCTGGTGAGTTCCAGAAGCCTATTAAATAAATGAGGCTCCCATGTGTGGCGGCCTCTCTTAACACAGAGACACACGGGAAGTGCCTTCCTGCCGGAACAGGCTGCAGTGAGAAATAATACTGTTGAGAGATGTGCAGCTGGGGCAGCTGGAATTGGGCCACAGCCCGGGGACGCATAGCTGGCCTGGCCATTTTTCTCATGTGCGGAAGGTCTGTCGACGGGACATAGGAGCTGAGTCTCTGGGGTAAATGGCTGCTTCTGTGGGCTCTCTGGAGAGCCGTTCAGCCGCCTTGCCTATGGAGTGGACCTCACAATTCCAGGAAGGCTTTAAAGTGTGAGCATCCACTTGGCAGTTTTAGATCCCAGAGGAGTAAGTGGGGTAGCGTGCTTCAGGGTTGCACGCTTTTCTATCTGCAGGACGCCCAGGCCCCTCCCGCAGCATGCTCGTGTTCATCTGCAGAGCCTGGGCCCCGGAGAAGGCGGCTGGCCAGGGGAGTGGCTGAATCATTCAGCACCTGCCTCTGAGCCACTGCCACAGAGCGAGTCTAGCTCCTGGTGCCCTTAGCGAGAGCAGGGCCCAGCACGGACGCTGGTCAAGTCTGTACCAACCTGAGGAGCCAGACCCACTGCAGTGCTCGCCAGCAGTGTCTGGGTTACTGGAGTTAGGATCTGGGCTGGTTTCCAAGTACTGGTGTCTCATTCAAGGGAGAAAGGCACACAGAGCTGCAAAGCAGCAGGAACGCTTTATTCCCAATAGAGCATTCAGCAAGGATACGGTCTTCAGATTGGTGTCGGCGTGTGTGTGAGAAGACACGAGGGCCCAGGCTGTGACCTATGGCCCCTTTGTGGGGTCTACACTCGAGGCACACGTGATTGCTGGGAGGCAGGTTGCCTGGTTCTCTGTTGTACTGATTAGGCCTCAGAACCATTTCTCTCCTGTGTGTATCCCTTCCCGTAATTCATTTGGTTTGTAATCATACACACACTGGTTATGCAGAGGCACACGATGATAAAAAGGGATTGTCTCTAAAAGTTCACTTTAAGGAGTTACAGTGCGTATGCCCCAAACTGGTTCAGGCCGGACTGGCCTTCTCTTCGCTGTGCCCAGACATAAGCAATGAAGTGAATCTCAGCTTGATGGATCTTACAGGGTGAAAACCTTATTCCACTGCTAAGAGCACAGTGTGTGCAGCTCGGCGTGGTCTGGGGTCCTCGGTTGCTAATAGGTTGCTAGGTGCACTGGTTAGAGAGGGGTGAGTGTGTGTGTGTGTGTGTGTGTGTGCACAGCCCCAAATCAGTGCAGCCCCCATGCCTGCCTCACCGGTAGAGGTGAGCTCACAAGGAACAGTAACTCCAGAGTGCCAGCTTCAAAGGCCGACCCAACAAGGCAGAGAAACCCTGGTTCTGTGCCCGGCAGATGTGGGCCTCTAAGAGTCTGAGTATAGGGTGAAGCCAGCGGTGACCCTGTCCAGGTTTTGAAGGTCTTTCCTCCTGCTCTGGAAGGTCTGAGAAGGGCCCTTGGACCCTCCTGGGAAGACAGAAGTATCCAAACAGAGTCAGCCGACTTCTCTGCCTCTCCTTTGACCAGTCCCTTTCTGGAGCTCTTTGTAGTGACCCCATGGGCGGTCCCTGGTGGCACCAAGACGCCTGGGTCTGTTGGGTGGTGTAATGGGTGCTGGATGGGTTACTTTTCTGTTGCTGTGATTAAGCATCACCGCCAAAGCACCGCCCAGACCCCTGACACTGCCCAGATCTGTGTTCCCAGGCTGCATCCTCCTTCCTGGAGTGGGTCCACACCGTCACCTCTGTCCTATCCGTGCGCCTCCTCACAGGTGGCTGGGGACCCCTGTGGAAATGAGTGGGTCACAGGCATTGCTGTGACACCAAAGCCAGCCCCTCAGAGCACGCGTCGCCTCTGCTGTTTGGGGCAGGAGCCATCAGCCTGGGCCTGCCTTTTCTTTTTTTTTTTTTTTTCTTTTTTCTTGAGACAAAGTCTCTCTGTTATGTAGCCCTGGATGTTCTAGAACTTGCTGTGTAGACCAGGCTGGTCTCAAACTGACAGAGATCCACCTGCCTCTACCTCCCAAGTTCTAGAATTAAAGGTATGCCGCCTGGCCTATGTCTGATCTTTAAAAGACTTTATTTTTAATTGTGTGTGCATAGTGCATGTGAGCACAGTGCCAGGGAGTGTCAGAACAGGGCACAGACTGCCTGGGGTTGCAGTCACAGGCGGTGTGAGCTGCTGTGATGTTATGAATCAAATTCTGGTCCCTCGTAGGAGCAGCAGCTGCTCTTACTGAGCAGCCACCTCCCAGGCCCTGGGCACGTCTTCCCAGTGTTGGGCTTTGAAATGAGGGCCACCTTGCTAACAGCCACACACTAACCCATGTGCCGTCTCAGGCGGACTCATGCTCTTGCCAGGGTTTTCGAGATAAAGACTTCCTGGGCACAGCAGGGAAGATGGGTGTTGTGTGCGCACGGCATCTAGGCTGGGATTCCCAGACCCGGGGGCCTATGCCTGTAGCTCTGCTGCTCAGGAGCGGTGGAGGCAGACGCATCCCTGCACCTCTCCCGATGGCCAGCCTGGCCGAAATGGTTCTCTGCAGGTTCAGCGAGGGCCCGTCTCAGAAGGCAGGCGGAGAGCAACATCGGAAGACAGCTAGCTGGTGTTGACATCTGGCTCCTGTGCATTGCACGCGTGTGCCACAGACACACAGATTTTCCTCTGAGTCGGAGGTCCTGCTTGCGCTGTCAGTCATAGCCAGTGTGTGAAGATGTCTCTCTCCTCCCATCCCTGAACCTCCTGCCATGGTCCAGGCTCATTGGGGCTTTGGCTAATGCAAAGTCCAATGACAAGAGGATAATTTGTGGCTCTGACGTCTGAATGGCCTTTGCCTGACTCTTTTCTTGGTCCTGGGGCCTAGGGTTTGGCCCCACCACCTTGGTTTCATTTCTAATGTGAACTCTAGAAGCTTCATACACAGGGTCCCAGGAAGCACACACACCGAGTCACCCCTTGTGGGGAAGCTGACTCTGGCCACCCGTTCTCCCAGGAGGTCTTTGGTGCTAGAACCCCAGAAAAGGATGGCCCTGCACATCCCTGAGCTCTGCCTTGCTTTAGAGTTCTTGCTCCTGGGATGCCGGGCATCAGGCTCAGTAGATTCACCGTCTCTGTCTGACTCCATCCTGTTTCACTGGGAACCTTTAACTCCTGGCCGTCTGTGTGCCGAGGATCTGTGGTCTGATCCAGGGAGGAGGTGAGGCTAGGGCAGGGCTGTTTGCAGCTGTTTCGCAGGGAGCAGAGCAAGGTCCTTCACATCGGTGTCATCTAAGGGCAACCCAGCCAGTTTGCCCCGAGACGAGGCTCATGAGCACTGTCGTTGCCTGTTCTTGGTCATACCTGGGGTGCTAGGCGGTGGGGAAGGGGTGCCCAGTGACTGGTGCAGAGCGTGTGTGTGGATCTTGAAGCTAGCTCCTCTGAAGTGGGTACGGTCCCAGAGAGGCACATGGTGTGTTCAGGAAGTCGGCCCTTCTCCTGGCTGGCTGCTGCAGCTCTTGCAGCTGTTACTGATGGCATTTATTTGGCCTGTGATTGCCGTGGAGAATGCCAGGCAAGGCATTATCTGACACAGTCCCATCCAGGGGATGAGGAGATGGTACCTAAGAGCAGAGGAGGAGAAGCTGTCAAAGGGCAAGGCCCAGGGGTCTCCACTGTAAACACAGCACTGAGATTTAAGGAGCCTGACTTGAGGGGCTCATGTCTGCAGAGCACCTGTGAAAAGTCTCTGTAAGCCCCATGCTCCATGGGGAACTTCCTGTCCTAAACAAACAAGCCGGGGTGACTGGCCACCCTGTCTCTGCCCCTCGATATCTTCCTGACTGCTTCCAATGTCTGGCTAGTTTAGTATCTGTTGACACAAGCTGGAGTCACTGGAGAAGAGAGAGTCTCAACAGAGAAAATACCTCAGTAAGATGGGCTCTAGGCATGGCTGTAGGCCACTTTCTTCATTAGTGACTGATGGAGGAGGGACCAGCCCATTGTGGGTTGTGGTCCTGGGTTCCATAAGAAGCAGGCTGAGCAAGCCATGGAGAACAAGCCGGTAAGCAGCACCCCCTTGGGCTCTGGGTCAGCTCCTGCTCCAGGTTCCTGCTCCATTTGAGTTTCTGCCCTGACTTCCTGTGAAGATGAACTGTAATGTGGAGGTGTGAGATCTCATCACAGAGACAGTAACCATGTAGCTAAGACAGCACAGTGTTTATCACAGCTATAGAGAAGTAACACTGACTGTGCCTTTAGTAAGGCGATACATGAGAGGCTCTGGGGCCCTTGGCTTTCTAGCGTTCTAAGCTGAGCCCTCTCTCCTTGCTTCCTGATAGATGCACCTAAGCCCCTCCGCCCTTGGCTCCTAGCTGCTCTTCCTGTGAAGACATGGCACTAGGACACTTTCTGTCCACTAGACTTCCAGTGTGGAGTGGAGGTGGGAGGGGGGGGGACTCTGTTTGAGCAGGCATGGCATGGAGACAGATCCTCAGGCGTCCTTGGAAATAGCAGGAAAACAGCACCATGGAGACAGGAATGGCTCTTGCTACTAGAGCCAAGGAAGCGCCATGCCCCATGCCTGCTCGGGCCCAGGGACCCTGCAGGCCGTGGCTCATCTCAGAGGATGCCTCAGCCTCCAGGGCCTGGGGCGGGGAGGTGGCTGGGGCAGGTGTCAGGCACCGAAAGCACTCCTGCTTCTTCGGAGTTGCAGATGGGAACCCGGGGCTGTAACTGTCATGATGTTAAGAATGTGTACAAGCTGGCATGTACTCAGTTGGTGCAGTGTGTATCTGACACACATGAAGTCCTGTTTTCCATTGCTAGGACCACATAAAACAGACATAGTGACACACACTTGTAATCCCAGAGCAGCATGCAGCAAGAGGTAGATGTAGGGAGATTAGACATTCATGGTCATTCTTGACCACATAGCAAGGTTGAGGTCAGCCTGAGATCCATGAGATCCTATCTCAATATATATATATATTTATAATATATATATATGTATATATATATATATATTAAACCATTGAAAGACTAAAGGCATTGGCTAAAACACCTCCAGCTGACTGCCCACCCTCACTAGGAAATGAGGGACTCCATGGAGGTGTCCTCTGGGGGCTCCTACTCATATGTCACACCAGTAAGCAAGTGGCAGGAGCTCCCCCAAGTACTCTGGTGACATCAGGAGGGTTGTCACATGCTGGTCGAGCTGTGTTTCACTGGGGTCTGCACAGCCTCTGTGGGAAGGTGTGTGAGGCACTGGCACGGGAACGGATCCACCTGTTTTCTGCCGCAGTTTTCAGAGTGTCCGGGGCCTTTGCAACTCTGTCCTCCAACTGCTGGCACCCTACAGCTCATCTTTACGTACTGTCCACCATCTCCTCGCCTCTTCCATGGTGCTTTCCAGTTCTAACCTGAACAAGTCCCAAGGGCAGAAGCCCCCTAAGCCAGCGCACCCTGCGTTCCCGGAGTCCTTTGCATGTTGAGGGGTGTGGGAGCTCAGTGTCAGATCTCTGGTATTAAATTCTGCAGCGCCTGCGGAGGGACTGTCGTCCCTTGAACAAACCAAGCTTGTTCCTCAGACCTGCCCTGGGGTGATTCATCATCTAGGTGTGGTGGCCTAGCAGGCCTGCCCCTCGTCCCAGGTCCCAGCGTCTGTTTCTGTCTTCTAGGCAGGCCTGGCCTCCCCTGAGAACTCGGAGCAGCTCATCATTGCCTTGGAGCCCGAGGCCGCCTCCATCTACTGCCGGAAGCTGCGTCTGCACCAGATGATCGAGCTCAGCAGCAAGGTGGTGGCCAACGGGCACAGCACCAGTGACACAGTAGGAGCGGGGTTTGCACAGGGTACCTCCACTCTCTCTCTCCCTCCGCTCTCCCCTCCGCCAACTCCTGGGCGCCGCTCACTGTAGCTGCTGCCAAAGGCACCTCAGGCTGTGAGGGGCAGGGCACCCCATGGGGAAGGGGGTCTTAGCCCCTCTTCGCTTGGTGTTACTCCCTGGCCCGAGAAGACTGCCCCATAAACTAGGCATTGGATAAGCTGGCTTGTCATGCCTCAGGGCCCTCTCTCCAGGGACCTGAAGGTGGTTCTTAGCCTTGCATTTTACTAGGATGACTTTCTTGTGTATTAACAGAGTCAGTCTGCTCCAATTTGCCTGCCACCTATTCCTCTGTTGAGACTGTTGACTTACTGCTGACTCACTCACTGGGCTCCAGGTGTGGGGCGTAATGAACTCTTTAGGTGCCTTACACACTGAGTGAGCTGGTTTCTCCTGGCCCAGGAGATGCGCCCTGTGGGAAGGAGCCGTTGACAGGCCTGACCAGCATGGGTATTTTAAGGAGCTTTTCCCCTTGAATATGTCACCTGCATAAATGACTGTCCTGGTCCCTAGGAGTGTTTGCTTCACCAGCCTAAGCTCTGTGGATCTGTCCAGGGCTCCAGGGGTTTAGAGAGGTGAGACCAAAGTCACCCAAAAGCTCGCGGACTAATGGGAAGCACCATACACCCTAGCTCTGAGTTCTGCTCAGTTCTTAGGTATCAGCTTAGGGGCTTAGGTGTCAGCCTTGCATTGCAATTGGACCAGCTCCCCCATGGGTGGGGTGCTGTAGGGACCCCAGGACATCTGGCATCTGTGGGTCCTTCATAATCGCAGGTCGGCAGCAGAGGCTTCTGCAGAGGGATGGAGCAGGCAGACATTCAGCCTCCAAGGGTTTTCTGGGAACATTACCTCCTCCTGATGGGTTTTAATGGGATCCATAAAAGAGACATTTGTCCAATCTTGGGCTTAATCTGCCTGAAAAACTGGGACAATTTTTTGAGAACTGGAAAGATGTTTTCCCAGCCTCCCTGTTTTTTTTATGAATGCCATTTTGTGGCCACATAAATTATCTTAGCAAACTGGATGCCTGCAAGGTCTGAGAAAGTTTGTTTCTTGTTTGGTTTGTGCTGTACCTCCCATTTGACTTGGGCCTCCATGTGTGCTAGGGAACTACACTAAGCCATCCCTTATGTCCCTTAGAGTTCACCTGGACCAGTGTGAACGGAGGAGAAAATCCTGAGGTGGGGCAGCCCCCCTCCCCAGGACACCCCATGACCCTTCCAACCCAGGCTCTGAGGAAGCTGGAGCTGGCTGGGCATTTGCTGTTCTCGTCCTGAGGGAAGCTGGTTTTGCAAACACTTGGCTTCTGGCTTCTGGTCGAAAGAGAATGCTGTTAGCTAACCAGCAAGGAGGGACTCACAATGGTGGAGAGGGAGGCGGCAGGAGGGAGGGAGCCGAGGCCGCAGGGCCTTCTGCTGCCACCCTAGGGTGGCTCTAATGAATCCTCACTGCAGAGGAGGTGCTCTGCTGTATGCAGGCTGTCACTTCAGGTTTACAGTAGACCAGCAGGACGTGTTAGGGAAACAGCTCCTTTTCCGCCCACCAACTGATGATGTCCCTACCTTAGAGATTAGGAGGCTGAGGCCTAAAGGGCTAAAGTGATTGATCCCCAAAGCCCCCTTGACTGTGGCCTGCTGTTTCCAAGGCTCCCTTTCATAGTACCTTTCTTATTCTGCTCTTTCAAGCTTAGAATTTCAGATCACAAAAGCATTCAGAGTCTCTAGGCTGTGGATTCATATTGCCAAACAAGAAACCTGGCATTTCCGAGTCCCTCTACTTCACCCAACAGTTATCTGTGCCCTTCTGTTCCAAGCTGGTCCAGCCACTCAGCACACAGCGGGACCTCCCCTGGGTACCCTGGTGATGCTGGGCTGGGCTCCCCTAGCTTCAGGTGTCACCTCGTGGCCGAAGCGCCACCCTGTGGCAGAAGTACGCACTGTCTTCAAGAGCTGCAGGAAAAGTCATTCCCATGAGGAAGATAGAGCCAGCATTCCAAAGCTCCTGTGATGTGAAACGGTTTAACCTAGTGCATGGCAGGCTGCTGGGAAGCTGGCCATTTCATTAATCCCCTCCCCAGAAGAAAGTCACCAGAGCCAAGAATCTCACCAGGGCTCCTTTCAGCTGGGCCCACGCCAAAGATGAGGGCTGGCTTTCTGGCTTTTGATGTCATTTATTAATCCTTTTGGCCAAGTAAATGTTCCATCCCTGAGCCCACCGTGCTGTTGCCTTCGGCAGCTGCAGACGCTGTCGCCTTCCCATGCTTTCTCATGCCTGCTTCTTTCTTTCTGTCGGCCCCCAGCCAAGGAACACGTTCGGCGAAACCGGCAGAGTCGCACCTTTCTGGTGGAGAATGTCATAGGAGAGATCTGGTCTGAGCTGGAGGAAGGTAGTGTCTTGGGATGCCTTTTGCCCCTGCTTGTCATTATCTATCGTCACTGCTGGCAAAGATGCATTTACAGTCATTACAGCTGCTCTTTGGGAAGATGCTCAGTGGCAGAGGACTTTGAAGGCCACTGGCTTAGGGCCTGCCCTCCTGGGAGCTGGAGCTGCAGGCTTGCATGTCGGAAAACCACACAGACAGACTTCTCCCGAGGAAGATAAGGCTCCCCAGTCCTGGAGAGAGTCTTGTGTTGCCCTGCATGTCGTGTGTGGTGGGACACAGCCCTGCATGGCGTGACTGCTCGTCTTCTAGGGTCCCTTGAATGGGCATGACTGAATTCTCCTTAGTTACCGAATACCTCTGTTAGTGAGCAGGCTCCACTGGGCTGGCGAGCAGGGTTGGAGGTGCATACTGGGCCAGGTCGGAGCTCAGGTAGCTGGGGGGATGGGCTCGGTGCTTGAGGACTTCTATCTCTCCTGGCAGGTGACAAGTACGTGGTTGTTGACAGTGGAGGGGGCACCGTGGACCTGACCGTCCATCAGATACGGCTGCCAGAGGGGCACCTCAAGGAGCTGTACAAAGCCACAGGTGAGCTGCCGCCACGTCTTGTCCACTCCCTCGGATTCCTCTCCCATGGCCGCATGTGGACTGTGAGTGGTGGAGGGCCCTTCTCTCCATTTGCAGTGGAAAGAAAAATGTCTCTGAATGTCCTTCCAAACCACCCCTTGAGCTCTGGAGATCGGCACCATGCTGGATAGTGACCCAGTTCCTGCAGTTTTACCAGGGTTTGCCTGTAGCTTGGTATCACTGCTGACTGAATCTAAGGCAAGATCTCTGCACCTGGAATAAGATCGCCAAAATAAGGACCACGCCTTTTCCCTGTGGGAGGGATGTCTGCTGGGGTGATGTCATCAACAGACTGCTGACAGCCTGAGGCCTGTGGGTTTCTTGAGAGGGAACATTGTCATTTTTGAAATTATTTATTTAAGAAAATTTAAACAGACTGTTGATGGGAAAGAAATCCACAGAAGAAGCCTAAGGGTGTTGAGGTGTGGATGGACGGTTAGCCACTGCCTGGGTGCCAAGAAGGCCTGGTGTGCTTTGGAGAACACAGGGGAAGCCTACAGTTCAGCAACTGGTGCGAGTCTCTTGTGTTTTTGGTAACCTCATGGCACCCATCTCTCCTCCCCTCAGGTGGACCCTACGGCTCTCTGGGAGTAGATTATGAATTTGAAAAGCTGCTTTGTAAAATATTTGGAGAGGATTTTATCGAACAGTTCAAGATCAAACGCCCGGCAGCGTGGGTAGACCTGATGATCGCCTTTGAGTCTCGGAAGAGGGCCGCTGCGCCAGACCGGACCAATCCCCTCAACATCACGCTGCCCTTCTCCTTCATCGACTACTACAAAAAGTTCCGGGGCCATAGCGTGGAGCACGCCTTGAGGAAGAGCAAGTATGTCTGCGTGAGCCGTGTTGATGGCGTGAGTGAGCCGTGTTGATGGCTTGAGTGAGCCGTGTTGATGGCTTGAGTGAGCCGTGTTGATGGCGTGAGCCGTGTTGATGGCTTGAGTGAGCTGTGTTGATGGCGTGAGCCGTGTTGATGGCTTGAGTGAGCTGTGTTGATGGCGTGAGCCGTGTTGATGGCTTGAGTGAGCTGTGTTGATGGCGTGAGCCGTGTTGATGGCGTGAGCTGTGTTGATGGCTTGAGTGAGCCGTGTTGATGGCTTGAGTGAGCCGTGTTGATGGCTTGAGTGAGCTGTGTTGATGGCGTGAGTGAGCTGTGTTGATGGCTTGAGTGAGCCGTGTTGATGGCGTGAGTGAGCTGTGTTGATGGCGTGAGTGAGCTGTGTTGATGGCGTGAGTGAGCCGTGTTGATGGCTTGAGTGAGCCGTGTTGATGGCGTGAGCAGTTGATAGAAGGGAGAATTCGCTGTGGTCGCTGAGTTCTGACCCTGTGTGCAGTGTGGTTTTGAGCAATGACTCAGTTTGTCTCTGTTTCAACTTTACTTTCACTACTGAAAATGGGACAATTCTACTTACCTTAACGGTTTTGTGGGAGTCATGTGAATTCCTATGTTCGGTGTTTAACATAATGCCCAGGTCACAGCAAGTATAGTCTGTGTGTTAGCTGGTATGCTCGCCAGGAAAATAAGAGCTTATGAAAATGGGATGTTTTGTTTGGGTGGAATCTCAGTGTTCTACTGCCGTGAAGACACCATGACCAAGGCAGCTCTCAGAAAGGAGAGCATTTCACTGGGGCTGGCGTGCAGGTTCAGAGGTTTGGTCCATTGTCATCGTGGCAGGGAGCATGGTGGCGCGCAGGCAGACACGGTGCTGGAGACAGGGCTGAGAGCTAGATTCTGATCTGCTGAGAGAGACAGAGACAGAGAAACTGGGACAGAGACTAGGCCTGGCCATGTGTGAGCTTTTGAAATCTTGAAGCTTACCCTACCATCCAGTGACATACTTTCTCCAACAAGGCCACAGCTCTTAGCTTTTTCTGATAGTGCCATGCCCTGATGACTAAGCTTTTAAATCTATGAGCCTGTGGGGCCGTTCTCCTTCACAGCACCACAGGTGGCTGCCGAAGCACGGAGTAGAACAGGACTGGGTGTGCACTAGATGAGCCAGTGGGAATCTGTTTTCCTGCTTCTCCGAGACACTAGCCTGCCCTTATAGATAGGTCAGTTTGTTGCAAAATGAACCCACGTGGAAGATTCTAAAACTGAAAATTTTTAAATAGAATAAAAGCCCCTAAGTTCCTGATAATTTTCAGAAAATTGTCTTAGAACTATGTGGGGTGGGTGACACATGCCTGTAACCCCATGCCTGAGGCAGGGGGTTGTCTTGAGTGCAAGGCCAGCCTGGGCAACATAATAAGAACATACTAAAACTTACCTTTGACATACATGTCCAAAGTGAACTGGTTGTTACTACAGTCTGGCTAATTTTCATACCTGTCACTTTCCATAGATAGCCCCTCTTGATGGCCTTCTTACAATGAATGAAACTCTATTGTCCACTGTCAGTCATCGGCACTTCCTAGCCAGCCTACATCATTCATGCCTCCCCCAGTAATTTTAAATCAAAGATTGTGATATAATCCATATATATGCCAGCCTGGAGTTCTAAGGGAAATACCATTTAATATGAACATAATGTTATCACACTTCAAATTCACTGCCTCTTTGATTATTGAGTTAGTGACTGTGAAGATGGCCCTATGGGTAAACGCTTGGTTATTAAGTTATGAAGTTGACTCCGTGGGTAAATGCTTGGTAGTTGAGTTAGTGTGAAGATGGCTCCGTGGGTAAATGCTTGGTAGTTGAGTTAGTGTGAAGATGGCTCCGTGGGTAAACGCTTAGTTATTGAGTTAGTGGCTATGAAGATGGTTCTATGGGTAAATGCTTGGTTGTTGATTTAGTGAGTGTGAAGATGGCTTTGTGGGTAAATACTTGGTTGTGGAGTTAGTGAGTGTGAGTTAATGAGTGTGAAGATGGCTCCGTGGGTAAACGCTTGCTGCCAAATGTGAGGTCCACAGTTTGGACCTCTGTGTAAAGCTGGGCACAGAAGTGTGATCTGAAATCCCAACATTCCTCCAGCCAGAAAGGAGGTGGGCACAAGACAACCCCTGGGGACTTGTGGCCAGGTAGCCGGAAACACTCAGCGGCAAGCAGTTTCTATTGCTGTGAGAAACAGCATGAGCAGTCCCAAACAAGGAGAAGGTGAGGACCGGCACTGGAGGTCGTCCTTGCCTCCTCGTGTGCTGTCATTACACATGCTCACACTCATACAGGTGGGTGTACACATGCGCTCTCTCTCTCTCTCTCACACACACACACAGAGCTTTTTTTTCTCTTTTTTAAGCCAGCTAGCATTATCAGCTTCTTGGTCTGCTTTCTTTAGTTTGTATCAATAGGCTTGATACAAACTTCAAGCCTTCAAGCCCGCAAGCATACAAATTTTCCTCCTGGTTTCACGCTTCATAGCATGTTAGTTGTAGGCTGACTGGCTGCCCCAACAGTTTCCCACAGTCTTAGTTTGCTCACTGTGTGCCCGCAGGTTCTCTGCTCTGTACATCTGTCCCGTGCTATGCTTTTGCAAATAGATTAACATGGAGTCTTGGGCAAATTCAAGTTTGAATTTTTGGCAAATCTACTTAATGTGGGGCAGTCTTTGTGAACTTACATTTATTACCACATAATAATTATATGTAATAACTTCACTGTGACATTTTCATGTTGTGTATAATGTATTCTGATCTCACTCACTGTCTTAGGGTTCCCACTGGTGTGATAAAACACCATGATGAAAAGCAAGCTGGGAGGAAAGGGTAACAGTCTTCACTGTGGGAGGCCAGGGCAGAAACTCAAGCAGGACAGAAACCTGGAAGCAGGGACTGAAGCAGAGGTCGTGGAGGGCGCTGCTGACTAGGCTTTCTCCTCACAGCTGGCCCATGCCATCCAAGGCCACCTGCCAGGGTGGTCTCACCCATGGTGGACTGGCTCCTCCCATATCAACCACTAACTACAAAAATGCAGACCTAGCTGGTCATTGGTGGCACTCAAGAGGCAGAGGGCAGGGGGAGCTCTGAGTTCAAGGCCAGCCCGGTCTACAGAGTGAGTTCCAGGACAGCCAGGACTACACAGAGAAACCCTGTCTCAAAACAAAAGTAAACTAAACAAAAAACTAACCAGAAAGAGAGAGAGAAAGGAAGGAAGGAAGGAAGGAAGGAAGGAAGGAAGGAAGGAAGGAAGGAAGGAAGGAAGGAAGGAAAGAAATGCAAGCCCAATCTTTTGGGGGCATTTTCTCAGTTGTGGCTCTATCTTTCAAAATTACTCTAGCCGTGTCACCGTGTCAAGTTGACATAAAAACTAGCCAGTCCAACCATCATCACCCACTCTTGTTCCCTCCCACTGATCACATCCTCTTCCCAACCAGTCCTCATCTACTTCCGTGTGTGTGTGTGTGTGTGTGTGTGTGTGTGTGTGTGTGTGTGTTAGGCTGTTTACAGAAACATGCACCTTCCCACATATCACTGAAAGCAAGAGCACCCCTTCCTCTCCAGCATCCATTACAGCTACAATTCTCAGGCGGGAGCAGGCCTCTGTGAACCCTCCCTCTCCTGTGACAGGACGTTCAAAGCCTCGGGCAGTCTTTTGCGGGCCAGCACAGTTGCACATCAGGAGACCTGTCACTTCTTTTGGACATTGGTTCCTGCTGGTGATCACGGCCACGTTGACCCTCACTGCGTCCCTCTGGCTCCCTTGATGTTTAGTGTATCCTAAGAAAGTTACTCCTCAGTGGTTTGGTGGCTTCAGAAAGGAGAATGAGTAGTGATTTTTTTCTGTTTATTTTTTTATATTGGTGCAGTGGTGCATACCTTTAATCCTAGCAGAGGAAGTGGAGGAGGCAAAGGAGGCAGAGGCAGGTGACTGAGGCCGGTCTGGTCTACAGAGTGAGTTCTAGGCCAGCTAGGGCTACATGGTGTGGTGAGACCCTAGCATCCTTCAAAGTGGCGCTGGGTTTTATCTGTAGGGAGATGTGTATCTAAGCATGGTTGACAAACCATGGCTGTGCTGTGTGCCTTACTGGTGCTGAGCCCCACCTTAGACAGGAGCAGCCTCTTCCACTTGGCCCTGAGCCGTCCTGACACAGCCTCTGAAGTGCCTTTGCCCTCTGCTCTGTGAACTGTGCCCCGATTCTTCAGGAGGCCTTGATTCCTTTCGGTGGGAAACAGAGTTGACTCAGGTGTGCTTGCCCTCTGGACAGGGCCCTTGGGCCAGCTGGCTGCCTGGGATGACAGTCTCTTTGCCCTTCGGCTCCGTGGATACAACTCCTACCCCCTGGGTCAAATCCTGGGATCTGGGCATAGTTCCTGGAGGCCCTCCAACCCTCCCAGTGTGGAAACCCGCCAGCCCCAACCAGCCACGAGGCCATTCCACACCACACACTGTCCTCTGGCTTCTGCCATGGAAGCCTGGTGTCATGCAGATGTGGTGCTGAGAAGCTGGTGTGCCATCCCACAGGCCCTGAGGGTTGGAGCAGGTGGGGCCTCTACTTAGCGTCTAGGAAATGAGCGGATCCCAACAGTGTTTAGTTCCCAACACTAGCTAGGCTAGGAAACAAATGCTCAGTGTTTCATGGGCACAGCCTCTGCTCGAGCTTCGCAGCTTCCCCTAGGGCAGGGTGTGGGGGAGGGGAGGACACAAACACACAGGTTATAGTTGGTAAACTTGGCTTCTGGCCACGAAGACCCGGCTGGGAGGAGACAGAAGCCAGTGTGGCCGAAGTCCATGGTGTGGCCAAAGCCGGTGCTTCTTCTGCTCCACACTGCTGTCTCTGGCTGTGCTGAGTCTTGGCTAGAGACTGGGAGACCTGGAGGCCGCCCTGTAAGCTGAGGGTCAGCTGTGGGATGCCACAGGGACCCAGAGAGCTGAGTAGGAGCCTGAGCTCGGGCTTCCAGTGCATGGCACTGCACCTCATCTCGAACAGGCTGTGTCACTGGGTAGAAGCGAAGGCACGGGCCTCCACTTGTCTCTTGTGCCAGGCTTTGGCTGTCACTCCACTGGGGGAGTTTGGTGCTAGCAAGGAGAAACGTAAGGTTATGTCTTAGCATTTGAGCTTGAGGGGCCAGGATCAGGCAGTTGAGCAGATTTACAAGAAGGCTTTTGACTTGAACGCCCCTCTGATCCCCACGGCGGGACAGACGTGCTTTCAGGCCACACGGCTGTGCAGGGCAGCCTGGGCAGCGTGCACACACTCACACGTGTTCCTCTGTGCTGTCCCAGCGTGGACTTCGTGAAGTGGTCCTCCCAGGGGATGCTGAGGATGAGCCCGGACGCCATGAATGCCCTCTTTAAGCCAACCATCGACAGCATCATTGAGCACCTCCGTGAGTACCCTTGGGCTTGGCTGCGTGTGGACAGAGCTGGGAGCGGGCAGGTCTTGCACAGCCCCGTTGGGAGGGAGTCTGAATCTGGAAGCCACAAGCCTGGAGCCACAGAAGTGGGCCGGGTTTGCACACCTATGAAGGGCTGCTGGACAGGGCTCTTGACTCTGCAGGCTCGGGAAAGCTGCTACCCGTCTGTGCCTGGCTTCCCTTTGGCCCTGAAGGTCAGAGGTCAGGGAACTCTGAGGCCCTACTGAGTGCCAGGCCCCGGGAATGTATCTGGTTTGAAGTATCAGGAAAACTTAGGAATCTTTGCATCCTGGAAAGAAGGAACTGTTTTGTGAACCAAGCAAGGATTCCAGCAAGACAGTCTGTCCGTCTGTCATCTGTGTGTTGGTTGTCCTCCCCCAGGGACACATAGGACGGGGACACTAGACCCTTTATGCATCCCTCACCTACCTCTGTGAATATGGGCAACAGCTTGGAGGCACTCGTAGGGATTACTGGCGTTCTGCAGAACGGGTCTAATTTAAGTCACCTCTGACAAGCTGAGCTCACCCTTGGCACAGCCCCTGCCCTCCTTCCTAAGTGTCCAGTGTGTAAACCTTTCTTCACAAGGCCAGCTCAATGCAAACTCGGCCGATGAGCTCGGGAAAGCGTCAGGGTTAGCTGGCTCCCCGGGCTCAGGCAGCTGGGACCCCGTGCAGGCGTGCTTTCAGCGCTCTGATCCTCCCTTCTCCTGCCCTTCCAGGGGACCTATTTCAGAAGCCCGAGGTGTCCACGGTCAAATTCCTCTTCCTGGTGGGCGGCTTCGCAGAGGCGCCCCTTCTGCAGCAGGCGGTGCAGGCCGCCTTTGGGGACAAGTGCAGGATCATCGTCCCCCAGGGCGTGGGCCTCACCATCCTCAAGGGGGCCGTCCTCTTCGGCCTGGACCCGGCAGTCATCAAGGTGCGCCGCTCCCCACTCACCTACGGGGTGGGCGTGCTCAACCGCTACGTGGAGGGGAAGCACCCGCCCGAGAAGCTGCTGGTGAAGGACGGCACGCGCTGGTGCACCGACGTCTTCGACAGGTTCATCTCGGCCGACCAGTCGGTGGCGCTGGGCGAGCTGGTCAAACGCAGCTACACCCCCGCCAAGCCCTCCCAGCTGGTGATCGTCATCAACATCTACAGCTCCGAGCAGGACGACGTGAGCTTCATCACCGACCCCGGCGTCAGGAAGTGCGGGACGCTGCGCCTGGATCTCACGGGGACCAGCGGCTCGGCCGTGCCCGCCCGCAGGGAAATCCAGACCCTCATGCAGTTCGGGGACACTGAGATCAAGGCCACGGCCATCGACATCGCCACCTCAAAGAGCGTCAAAGTGGGGATCGACTTCTTAAATTACTAACGGAACCGCCCCTCCCAACCACCAGCCCCCGGGGCTCCTCTGCATTTGCTGACCTCAGCCTTGACCGTTCTGTCCCCCACCTTGACCCTTCCCATAGCCCACCTGAATTTCAGTAGGAAAGAAGAGAACCAGGGAGAAAACTGAGGGGTTTTGGGTTTTGGTTTTCTTTTGTTTTTGAGGGTACTTTAGAGTCAGAAAAACTCAGAAATTAATGCCACGATCCGGAAATAGAAAGTTGGAGGATCCTAGGGCAGCCGGCTCCCAGGGTTCCTGGATGGTAAAGCAGTCTGCTGAGGAAACTGGTGCAGCTTGCTCTGAAGGGGTCCCCGTGAGGGCTTAGGATGCCCACCGAAGTCTCTCTGGATTTAAGTGAGGTCTTTGACCCAGGAGGGCGTCTTCATCAAAGGTCTTTGTAAATCATCTTGGATGGCATGGAGCAGGAAACACGAGCTTCCTGCAGTTAATTTCTTCTCTTTATCCTGGCTCAGAGTGCTCACTTGTGGTAACTTACACCATTTGTTTTTCTTTCTCTAAGCTGGTGGGAGACAGCTGTCCACGCTATCTCATATAGATTACAGGAAGCTCAGTGAGGGGCAGGGCAGCCTTGGCTAACTCAACCCGAAGGGGGGGTGGGGTAAAAGTGTTGTCACCTCCATTTTCCAGAGCAGGTAAAAACTTGCCTTGGTGGAAGAGGGCACTGAAGAGTTAGTGACGTACCCCAAACTACAGCAGTCCCCTTTTATCTGTCGGGTATACATCCTGAGGTTCCCAGTAGATCCCCAGAGGTGGGTAGTACCAAACCTTATCTGCTCTACGTTTTTCTATACTTACACACCTATAATAAAGCTCAGTTTACTAAAGTAAGTCATTAGCAGCAGTAACTAATGCTACATAGGACAATTATGAAAACACTTTGATGAAATTTCTATGAATGTGGTCCATCTCAGTGTATCTCACCGTACTACACCATTGTGCATTTTTGGACCACAGTTGACTGGGGTCAATTGAAAACCCAGTAAATGAAAACACAGACCACAAGGTGATTCTTAGAAGAGCAAACCTTGAGTTCAGAGGTCCTACATAGTTCTAGGTGATCTTAGTAGGAATTTAGAGAAAGTTTCTATTTGCCCTGTTTGTATCATCATGCCCAGAAATCCAAAGCCGGCCCCTGCCTCGCAGACCATGCAAACATTCAGTCAACCCCCTGTCTGCTGTTCTTCCTTCCCCAGTAAAGAAATACAAAAGGGGGTTCTGTTCCATCAAATGTCTCGATCAAATCTTCAGCTTTTCAGAGTCACCTAAAAGTAGTATGCACACCTAGACCTGGTACATGGGAGCAGCCTTTTCTAAAGCAGGTCTGTGGCTCAGCTGCCTCAGAGTCGCCTGGGTGCTTGTCAAGGACAGGTCCTGAGTCCATCCTTTACCAGAGCTCACTCTGGAGGGGCAGGATCTGCAGTTTTAGTGTTGGAACGTGGGGGTTTTGAACCTGAGAGTCTTGTCAACACTGAAGTGACCACGGAGTGCATTATATGGCCTCAACTCCTTCCAGGTCTCCCTCAGCAAGAGCCTGTGTGTCCACACTCTGCCCTGAAGATAAGAGGGCTTGGAGAGGCACCTGGCCTCGGTGGTTGCCTGTTTAACCCTCACAGGAAGGATGAGAGGAGGAAAAGGATGGCACGAACGGAACCCTGAGAATGCCGCTGCCCAAGGAGCCAGCCAGGTTCTGAGTTCTCACCTTCCCTCTGCAAAGCCAGCCTCACCAACATTCAGGACCCGACTGCGGATAAAGAATCAAACATCTGACTCTTAGTCCATTTGATGTGTTCAATGTTGTCTTTCCCACCTGCTGGAATTCATTCTGATTTCTAAACACTGGAGACATGCAGAATTAATGAGTGAATGAATGAGTGAATGAATGAAGAAAGGGACTTCAAATGCAAGTTGGATTTGTGAACCCATCATCATAGCCAATATGCAGATTTTAAGTAGCATTTTGAATTTCAGCCTGCTGCCTTCTTTTTCACACCGCTTGCTGCAGAATCCCCTGCTAGAATGTGAAAATGCTATCAAACCACAGAGCAAGAGATGGGAGCCCCGAGCCCAACGGCAGGGTCTCACAGGACGCTTGTCTTCTTAGCCTCTCCCGCTAACTCTGCTTCAGAAGCTCATGGGTCTCTTTTTGGGGTTTCCAGCCACGGTCCTCAAATAGACTTTCAATTTTGTTATAATGGATATAATTTTGTGTATATATAATTCTAGAATCTTGTACAGAATCTTTATTTCTACTGTGTGCTTGTTTAAAAAGGAAAATCCTCTTGGTTTTGGTGACTAGCACTGCTGCCTGAAAGCGCCACAGCTTCATTTCTTAACTGCTCCCACCGATCACAGTCTGCTGTGACCACGGCTTCATTTCTTAACTGCTCCCACCGATCACAGTCTGTGCTGTTATCATGCAATGGACTAAGTACGCAAGACTGAGCAATAGACAGAGGTGCCTTGGGTCAGAGTTCTCTGATCGACAGCTACACCAGACCCTTCCACACTTGCTCACCCTGCCAGAAGCTGAGCAGCTTCTGCATAGAGTAATGTATCAATTCTCCTGTCCCGACTTTGAGAGTGGAACTCACTGGTTCCGTAAGCAAGGCCTGCCGGAACAGCCTTGGATCTAGCAGGGTTGCTGGCCTCTCTTCTCTGGCCAGGCAAAGCACGGCATAGTTCATGATCAAAGGAGCCCAGTGGTACATAAACGGGGTTTCTGTCGGGTTGAATAAGTAATTGTGAGCAGTACAGTCCAACCTTCTCCTAGCTTGATGGAGAGCACTTCTCCCCTTATGCTGAGTCTATGTCCTTGCCTCCTGTTTTGCTTAAATGAGCTTATAGAAATCTGCAGTCTTAGCACAGTGATGATGGAGAGGGGGTGGTAATTTTACTGGACCTCCGCAGGGCCCAGAGACGCAGCCCAGTAGCCAAACTGAGTAAAGCTTTCCAGCCGATCCCTGCCCCAACTGAAATAATCCTAGTCTGAGCACTGGGTAAGTACACTTGGAACACATTTCCCAGTCTTAGTTCCAGAAGGTCTGTGGTCTTGACCAGTTGTCCTTTGCTTATTTTATCTGGCTTCTTTACCACCTTTTCTGTACACAGCAGGCGTTTATAAACAGTGACAGGACAAGGACATACAGTCGAAAGAGGTGTCCAGAAGAGGTTCTGGGGAGTGATGGCTGAGTCCAGGCTACAGACCCGCCCGACCCTTAGAATGTTACTGAGACCAAGTTTAGCCTTTAGAGTCCAGGTCTGGTTAATGGCCAGGGTAGCAAAGAATTGCATGCACCAATATAAACAGGAGTCAAAATGCATTATTCATTGAAGACCGAATGTCACACTGATGAAATAGTTGTGATGAGGCTTCGCAGTCCGTATGCTGGGGAATGGCTTATGTGGATGGCTAGTGTAAAGTTCTTGGCCACAATATCTCTAACTCCTCCCCTTTGCTTGACGTATGAAACAGTATCCTAAGATTTCAGCCACTGGGAGTCTTGTTCACTACAAGATAGATCCAAACCTCACAGAATTTGCAGCCTTTCACAACTAGACAGGATTGTGCCTGCAAACTCGTCTTCACAGATTCTAATAAAGTAAAGCTCTGAATTTCATGTGGCCTACAGTAGTTTTTTTTTTTCTCATTTGGGGTGTAGGTGGAATTATGGGGGGGTCATTACTGACTTCCTCCTCTGTGTCAAGGTCATTTTTAGATGGAACAAGCCTTACTGACAGCTCCATGGATGATCAGGGCCCTCTCTCAAAATGGGAAGAAAGCGGTTTAGCTATACAAGAAGGCAGATGGGCAGAGTCAACTGGTGAGTCATGGCGTCTGGATGAAAATCATTAAAACTCTGTGAGGCCTCGGTGGTGCTGCCCTCAGGCATCTCTGCAGGCAGGCAGAAGCTGTCTTGGCTTCTTCCCAGGCTCTACCCATGGGGCACACTCTAAATTGGCTCTAGAAGTGTCCGGCTGGCTTGTGGTATGGTCCCAGAAGTTCAAAAGGAAGAGAGGTGGTCAGTACTGCCTGGCTTGATCTGAGGTCCTGTCCTCTCCAGGGAACCACACTGCACAGGCATCAGATGGGCAATGGGACACACCTCCTCCCCTGCGGAGCCAGGCAGAGCTATAAGGCCGCCCGTGCCCTGCTCAGCTTACAGTGGTTTTACATTGGGATTCAGCCAAATGAAACGATGGCTCAGGCCCTGTTCCTTCCTATAAAGCCACTGCTAGGAAGTAGTAAGACAACTCTCCCAAGCACTCCATTTTGGGAAAGCACTTCAAGTCCCGTGTCCCAGGACCTTAGGGTAAAAAACAGTCAAAACCCAGGTCTCCTAATAAAGACGTCGGCAGGGAAGTACCGGGCTGAGGAAAAAGCCTGTGTTTGGAAGTCAACATGGACACAGATGGCCTTCCTTTCCCAGACTGCTTCCTGCCCCTCGCTGGCCCTCACGTGGACAGAGACTGCTGCCCACCTCTACAGAGGACAAGGGAGGAAGGCTCCCCTCTGTGGCTATGCCGGGCCATCAGTCTGTCCGGCCTCCCCCACCCCGGGGGAGGCGCTCAAGCTGCAGCCAACAGCGCCCAGAACAGACATTTCCCAGGCAAACATCTGGGCTTCCGCAGCGTGAGATGAGCGGCCAAGTTCACTCAGCAGACCAAACTCCAGCGGTTGCTGTTCCTGTGTCACCCCACCCCCATCCCGGGTCTCCATGTGGGGGGCAGAGCCAGCTCCAAATATCCCGGATGAATCCAGCTTCTGCCCCGCCCACTCAGGGTGAGCTCACAAAGGCCTGGAGAGCAGGTGGTCAGGAGGGTTCCCTGGTTTCCTGGGGTGCTCAGGCCGCCGGGTGAGAGCAGGGTCCGGGTGGGAGGAGGGTGAAGAAGGGTCCTGTCCTCCCTGCCTGCCTTTCCTCAAAGCTCCCCAAGCTCCTCCCATCGTTTTCTCCCTACATGCTGGCCTGTTTCCACCCTGTCCCCCAAGGGTGAGACTCTTCAGCACTTCCTGCCCCAGGGAGTACGCAGCCCTTGCTCCTTATCCCTTCACGCCACAGCGTTGAAACAAAGTATCACTATGCACTGTTTTTCCTTGTCTGTTAAGAGTGGCGGCTTCGGCCCAGCCGCCACCCACAGCTGTTCTGCTATAGAGAGTCGCTTGTTTATAGTTGTCCTGTTTAATCCGTGTCTGGAAATAGGTACAGTAGCAGTGCTGTGTTATGGAGCTGTTTGGAGGATCCCCTGCTTGGCACCTGTAGTAACAGTTCTTGGCCAGCAGGTGGTCAGTGCTGGGCTGGACATGGATTCCCAGGCCCGCCAGTCTTAGACCAGCTCTCTCTCCGGTGGGCACACGGTGCCCGGGGTTAAGCGCATCTTGGATGCGTCCCCACCTTCACTGCTCTTGGCTGTACAGCATTGTCTGACTGCGTCACCAACAACTGACTGGTGTTCACCTCTTACGTCATGCCCTGGCCACAAAAGCATCACTTTAAAGAGATGCACCGGCTTGGCAGAATAGGGCATGAATGAGCCAGAGAATCTGTATACAAACTTTGGCTGGTTGTGGGAGGCCATTGGTGACCCCTTGCGACGGGAGGGTTTAGCTATAGAGCTGGTGTCTATACAGCTGGTGCCAGAGTGGGCACCATCCCCTCCATTCACCCCTCCTGGACATTATGCCAGCTTATTGGCAGCGTTCAGCTCCGCCCAAGGCAGGTGTGCTCCAAGGCTGTGCTGTGTGCATGTGTGGGGTCTCACGTGCATTGAATAAAGTTGGACAGGATGCAGTCACAAGACAGCAGTAGCATCCTGTCCCCCTAGTGTGGCACCCCAAATCTCTCCAGACATTGTCAGATGTTCTGAGCGTAAAGGGACTTAACAACACACGTTGCTACCAAAACCAGAGTCTGCCTGAATTAAGAGTGTGCTGGGGAGAACTGGGTTTTTTATCATTCCCCTCAGGCTGGTTTCATGAGCTCCCAGGCCTTGCTCATCTTTATAGCTCCATCCCGTTTTACGGCCATGTATGCATACAGCTTTGTTAGATTGATGGGGGGCAGAGGGCTGGAGGGTGGCAGGACACTCACAGGTGGGGATGTGCGATAAGCGTAGAGGGTAAGGAGCCCTTGGTACTCAGCCGAGGCAACTGTCAGCCAGCTGGCTGTGATGGTGGTGTATCTCTGTCTCAGCCCCTGGATTCTGGAGGCAGGGAAACGGTCTCGAGACCATTCCATGCCTCTTTCCCTTCACCAGCAGAGTGAAATGGAGTCTTCCAAGACCTTCATGAGACAGCTGCCCATCACACCAGGATACGGTGGTGAGTGACATTTGTAGCACTGGGCCTGGCCTCCGGCTTGTCTTGGTGCACTGTCTGTGTCTAACTGGGCTGGTGCAAGTGCTCCAGCTTTTAAGACACGCATGGAGAACACCGAGTGCTGCGAGGACACTAGGCTTGGATGATTGAAGAGAAACCGCTGAGGCCAAATCTGTCAGGGCATGGCCAGGCATACCGGAAGCTTTGAAACCTGCTGGGTGGCGTATAGATAGGACAGACGGAGTGCTGAGGATAGACAAACAGTGGTAAATTTGGGGGCTCTGTCCTTCCCGAGTTGGTCTTTACCAAGTCCCCCACAAGGGTGGTTCTTACTGTTCTCATTTCTTCCCGAGTCTCATAAAGGAGACCCAGCACCTGCAGTGCTGAGCTTGTAGCCCTGAAAGTCTCATGGCCTTTCATCCTTGACAAATGACAGTTGGTCTCCATTCCTCCTGTGGCTCTGAGAACTGCAAACATGTCAGGGGCCGCTCATTCTCCTCCTTAGCTGTTCGCAGAAGGATCTATGCTTACACAATATTCCAGGCTTTCCCAGGCTCACCAGGCCCCACCAGCTGGATAAGCGAATGGGTTTGGGGTACCAGCAGATTTAATTCACAACTCCCATTGTCTACTGTCTACATGATTGTAAATAACTTTATGTAAGGAATGAATTGATAAAATGCCAACCAGCCTAGTCATCTCTTGATGAATTTTGTAAGTTTGTCTCCAGCCATTCCCTGTTCTTTTATCAAAAGGACACCAGTCTTCAGCTTTCAGGATGGCTTAAGGATGGAATAATCTGACTTCTAGTTCCTTAATTATATTTCCTACAACGACATTTTCCTAGAAGACCAAAGGTGTCAGGGATTAAGGACTTGGATCTGTTTATTTGGGGGCTACAACACACCTCCTCTATGGGACACTCTATGATTCAAGCAGCTTTTGAAAAGTGCCCTTATAAGACTCAGTAAGGTAACTGGTATTTGCTAGGTGTGTGGCTGTCATGTATGTATATATACATACATAAAATATATAGATAAAAGTAGGTCCTGGCAGTAGAGATGCCACTTCAAAAGGGCCTTGAGGTTCTGTGGCTTGCTTTGTGACATCACAGGACATATTTTGATTGGCCACGGCTTGGGGAACTCGATGGTCTATAGTTACTTGCCGCTGTGACTAACACCTGACAAGGAATGGTGTCAGGGAGGAGGGGCTTATGTTGGCTGCAGTTTAAGGGCACAGCCTCAGGAGGGGGCCTGGCAGCAGGAGCTCACGGTGGGACTCCTCACAGCTGGGTGGACAAGAAGCAGAGAGGAGAGAGGGAGTGGTGCTGGGCTATCAACCTTGCAGCTGCCTCCAGCCACCACTTCCTGTCCAGGCCCCAGCTCCTAACGCCTGCACAAGGTCCCCAAACAGCAGCATGGGACCAAGGTTCAAATACCTGAGCCTGTGCGGACACGTTTCCCATTCAAACCAGAACGGATGAGGGATGTCGAGGTTAGCCTAGTAGATTCTTCTAGAAGATGCTCTCTTGCAGGGTACAGTAGTTGGAGCTGACACATTCAGCCCCAAAGCCAGGTTTTCTTTCTTAAGCAACGAAGGCAAAAGCAGTGAGCTCCAGACCTGAGAGCTCTTTATTTACTTTGCAGCTTAAAGCTAAGTTCTTAACCAGTCTCCCTCGTTTGTTCTTTTGAAAAATGGTTTTATTGTGACAATATTACAGCACTTAGGGAGTCAGCGTCCAGCTTAAATAAATAGTTGTGTTTTACCCTTACTAATTGTAATGATTACATGTTATTTTGTGGGAAATGGTGAAAAATTGTCCTGGGGGTGGGTCTTGCAGATAATGAATTTACCTTTTCATGCTATAGTCTCTGCTTTTAATGGGCCTGCAATTTCCCTATGGTCTGGCAAGAAAGATCCCAGATTGCATTTGGGAAGTGTCAAGGAAAATAAGCTTTTTCTCTAAAAAAGATGAATAATTTCAATTACTTCTCAGACTATCATTTGGGCCCATTAAATGCTTTCCACATTTGCTGTTCAGCCTGACATTGGGGGCTTTGCCATCAAAGACCAGGACTGTCATCGCCTTTGTTGGAATGGATCTCCCCTCCCCAGCTCCAAGGTCATTTCTCTGCAGCCTTGGGAGGGCCAGCCGTGGTGCAAACAACAACACCATTTGTATTAATGGCCTTTGGAAAAATACAGTTGGTGTCAGTGGATGGGAGCCAAGTGGAGACAGAGGCAGGCTCTCAGACGGGAGCTGGCCACCTCACTCGGGCTGCGATTCCCTGTGCGCTCCCAGGCTTCATACCGTGGCTCAGCTGCCAGGGATCCCCGAGAGAGGACCGCATGAACGACTGTGTCAGAGCCTTCCAGGAGAAAACACAGAGATACAAGGAGCAGGAGGAGGAACTCAACAACACTGTAGACAACAACCCCGTCCTCAAGCCGGTCACCACTGAGGACACAGTGCTGTGGACGCTGCACGAGTATGCCAGGAAGTACCACCCCCTGACTCTGGGTACGGCCTCCCCCAAGTCAGGGGTCCTGAGTGAGATCCCAGCAGGCCGCTGTGCAGCCTCAGAGAGCCCCAGCTGAACACAGCCCTTGCTGAGAGCAGGGACCCGTGGGGCAGATGTGGGAGCCAGCCAGCGCCTAGGAGCTTGGAGGCCAGCCCCTGTTGGCCTTTGAGCATCAGCCCAGGGACCTGTGGGTGCCACTTTGGGAGTTCTCCCTGAGTTGGGTGTCATTGTTCTCTAAGCAGACACAGTAGCCCTGTGAAGCGGAGACAGTCTTCCCCATTGAAGCCACCAGAGGTACCCTCGGGGGTCACAGCAAGGATGCCGCCATTCACCCTAGATTTGAATCCAGCCACTGTAGATACTAATTCTGCAGGAAGTCTTTCATACAGAATGACAGATGACAGAAATTAATGCAATTTTGACCTGGATTATTTGCACATCTAAAGGGCTATAGGAAAAGTAAGGCGGAGGGCCAGGATGGGTCAGTCTGTAGAGCACTCGCTGTACAAGTCTGAGGACCTGTTTGACGTCCCCACAGCCCATGTAAACACGCCGGGTACAGTGGCACATGGCTGTAACTGTTGTATAGGTAGGTCTCAGGCTGGCTGGCCAACTAGCATAGCCAAATTGATCTCCAGAATCATTGAGATACCCAGCCCCCAAATAAAGTAAGAGTGATGAAAGAAGACATTCACTGTGGTCCTCTGGGCTGCAAAGTACACGAACACACATGAATACACACACATGTGCACACATGCACACACACACACACACACATACACACACGCCCACACTGGGCTAATAGCCCAGTAGTTAATACTAAGTTGTTTAGGGACTCATCCAGAACATATGGTGATTTTTATGTGCACAGGAAGGTGGAATAGGGTGTCCAGCTTTGAATTCTGGGCTTGGGGCCTTGTCTGGTTCTTCCGGCACCTGATGGTGGCAGTGGAACTGGCCCACGGCCATGCCAGGCAGTGTCACCTCCAGAACCTAGTGGAGCTTGTAGAGCTGATTGTGGTGTGCCTTCTCCCACCTGGTGGCTCATCTGGGTCTGGGGTCTGAGAGCTGGTGTGTCCTGGACCTGTCCTACCTATCCCTCCTGGCTGTGTCTCAGGATGTGCCACAGAAGTGTCACACATGGGGCTGACAGTGGTGCCCGCCTTCAGGGCTGCTGCTGAGAGAGTGAGATCACTGGCACACAGTGGGCCGAGGTGTGGACGGGTTCCGGGCAATGTGACTTGTCTGGGAGCCTGGGAGGGCCTCCCACTGTGCTCTCTGAACCCTCAGGAGCCCGGCTGTCTCCTTGCAGAGCACAAGAACGTGAAGAAACCCATACACGAGCCTCCTATCCCTGGCTGGGCGGGCTTCCTGCCCAGAGCCAGGGTCACTGAATTCGGCTGTGCCACAAGGTATACCATCATGGCCAAAAAGTGTTACGAAGACTTCCTGAGTTTGGGGGAGCAGTCCAGGAGAGCCCAGATGAAGTCCTACGAGCAGTAAGTGTGTGTGGGGTCCGGGTCGCAGAGCAGCCACAGCAGCCCCCCCTTCCCGCCCAGCTCTCTGCCGCCTTGGCTTGGTTCTGGCTCTGAACTGCTGGGTAGAAGGTGCCCTGTTTGTCACAGCAGACTTCCCGCAGGCAGCCATGCTCTGCACCCGCCAGCTGTGCCAAGGAAGGGCAGGGGCAACAGACAGACCAAATTCTCAGCACAGCCTCAGAGGGACAAAGGACAGGGAATAAGAGACAAAGACAGGAGATGATGATGAGGGATAAGGGGGAAAGGAAGCAGGGAGAGGGGAAGGGCTGTTTGTCCTGGGGGACAGAGGACTGGCTCTGGACAGAGAGGAGACAGATGTGGCCCAGAGGCAAATGCTGTTTATAACCGTACAAGGGGAAACCCATGCTAGGATGAGGTGTTTGATTTTGACGAGACAGATTAATTAGGCAAGCTACATGGGGGCTTTTGATTGCTGGACTTACGTACTTGGATAGCTGGACCTTGGTGGTCAGCCTCAAGAACTGGCCAAATAAAGGAGTGTACCTTGGTGGCTAGCTTTAGGAATTTAATCTAATGGTTTTTAAGAAGCAAGGTGGAATGGGGAAAGGGCAAGGCCTGCCAGCACCGTGCTTGCCATGCCCGAGCTGGCTAGACGCCTTCAGGGCTGCCTGTCTCAGCACTGGGCTGCCTCCAGGTGCTAAGGGAGCCTCGTGTGCTCCTGCACGCCTGTCGTCCCAGCAGTCTGGAGAGGCAGGCAGGAATCTGGATTCCCGACCTGCTCTACATATTAAGTTTCAGGACACCCAAGGCTACGTAGAGAGATCCAGTCTCTAAAAAAAAGAAAATCAAAGAACAAATGAGGGTGATTGGCTGTGACACCCATCACCCCATTGATGGTCAGGATTGATTGGGGGATCTGGCTGGCTTGGGGATGTCCCCTTCCCCCCTCTCTGCACTCAAGTTGTCCACCATGCTCCCTGATAGGACCTCCAAACAAGCTCTCAAGATGATGAGGGAGGGAGCTGGCAGGGACACTGGAGCACTGCCCAAGGCAGCTCTTGGATCTCAGTTTACCCTCTGTGAAATGTTAGGGAGGCTTTTAAGGATTAGAACAAACACTGTTGAGGACCTGCATGTCATACCCCTTATCAAAGGGAGTAACGCCATTCTCTCTGCTTACTTTAGAACATACGGCGTGAGCTCTGCACAGCCTCCTGACCCTTCTCCAAAAGTCTCGCAGCTCCAAGGGCTCCAAACCAAATACCCAGAATGCTATTTGCCATGTAAGCAAGGGAGCCACTGTTTCTTTCTGCCCTCTGTTGCTCTGGGTCACTGTGTGTGGCTCACATGGAGGCTTTCTCTTCCAGGTCAGGCAGCCCCGGGTGAGCACGACCAAGCTCCCAGAACCTGTGGCTGTGCGCAGTGGTCTGGCATGTCACAGAGCTGGAATGTATATGAGGAGCCACCATCCTCAGGAAAGAACTTGGCAGAGGCCTAGTATCCCGCGTCCTCCCAAGGAGAATCCAGCCTTGAGGGGATTCAGAAATCTGCTGAGCCCCTCCCCTGCTTTGCAGCAAGTAGATTCAGTAAGAATCCTTTAACGGCTGCCGGTGCCCCGAGTGTTGTCTTTGAGTTGAGCGGTTGCCTCTCAGCCTAATAAGGCTTGTGTTTGTGGGTAGTGGGAGCTATCTGCATTGAGCCAGTGAAGGGATTGCCCAGGTTGCCTCTTCCCAACACCAAGGAAACATTATGATCTGGCCAGGTTCCTCTTCTTGAAAAGGTTCCTAGGTTCCTCCTAGCCAGTCCCTCTGACCAGCGTAACCCTGTCAGCCATCGTGGGTCTTGGTGTGGCCAGCCCAACCCTGGCACATGCATCTACCCCAGCCCAGTTTTTCTAGAATTCCAGTCCTCAGGGAGACTTCACCTTGCAGACACCAGGATGGGATTACCTGGCTGTTTAAACAGTGCCCAGCTGGTAGCTTTACCACACAGAAAGTCCAAATGTGAAGGTCTCAGGTCCTGGGACCAAAGGCCTCGGAAGCAACTCAAGGGAGGAAGGGTGTATTGTGTACTCGCAGCTTGAGCGTTAAGAGTCCATCATGGCGGCAGGCAGGAACAGGAAGTAGCACCAGTGACAATGTTCACACACAGGAGCCTGTGGGGGCATTTCCCATCCAAACCACACTGTGTATCATTAGTCTCTTCCTGGTCAGTCAGGGCTCTTCCAGGGTTCCCACAACCCCCAGAGGAAGCAGGAAGCAGGTCCCTGGCTGCCAGAGGTGCCTCAGGCTGTGTGCCACACCAGCCTCCCGAGGAGGTTGTCTGCTTCTCAGGTGAGCTGCAGTTGGCAGGTAGCTGTGGGGCTGTGGGCGTCTTTGCAGAGGAATGAAATGGAACACACACCCTGGCGGATTTCTCTCCTTGCCCTCTTCCCAGGAGTCAAAGCCTGTGCCAGTACTTAATTTCTTGGCTAATTCATTTTGCAGCAATTTTTTAAAAAGTGTCTGAAACTTAAAAATTCTAACACCCTCCCACCCCTCAAAAAAAAAAAAAAATCCAGTGAGAGAGGTAATGAGATTAGAGGGAGTTCCACTCCTGAGCAGTCTGTTCTTTCCAGATCCTGATCACCAGGCTCAGGGCTCAGGGCTGATATTCCTTTTGTCTCCTCAGCTCTGCTCTGCAATTCTTTTCCTTGATCTTTATCCTTTCTGTTTCCCCCTAGCCTGTAATTTCCCAGAGCTCCTGTCTGCCGGGAGGGGTGGAGAGAGGTACTTTTTGCCTGGCAGCAAATTATCATTATTAGCACAGGCAGCATCCATAATGAGCCCATTCTTGCCACAAAAAACAATTTCATTACCTGAGAAGAAGAAGAAGAAGGAGGAGGAGGAGGAGGAGGAGGAGGAGGAGGAGGAGGAGGAGGAGGAAGAAGAAGAAGAAGAAGAAGAAGAAGAAGAAGAAGAAGAAGAAGAAGAAGAAGAAGAAGAAGAAGAAGAAAGAAGAAGAAGAAGAAGAAGAGGAGGAAGAAGAAGAAGAAATTCCCCGGGGCCAACTGGGCCTCTTGACAAGATAGCTTGGTCTCTGTGCCAGTTAAAGCCTTCTGTTTTAGGAGTCTTTGCTTCCTGTGCAAAAACTGATGACCCCACTATGGCTGGTGGACAGGGACACCAGCACTCCCTGTCCCCTGTCCCCTCCACAGGTCCCTCCACGTGACCAGCTGCCTGTGAAGAGGATCTCAGCCGAGCAGCTTTGACTTTGTCCAGACACAGCCATGTGCAATGTAGGAGCGTCTCCAGGGCTCAGTCTCAGCTTTTGATTTCTGCTGTGGCTGTGGCACATCCCCAACCTGAGCGCCACATTCGCCAAATCAGGCGAGAAAGAACCTTGTAGCATCCTGATGATATCAAGAGACAAGGCAGGCACGGGACTGTGGCTGTGGCTCAGTGGTAGAGTGCCTGACGAACGTGGGCAAGGTCCCGGGTTCGATCTTCAACCCTGCTGTGCTAGTATTATACATTTCTTGTGTTGCTGTTGAGCCAACAAGAAGAAACTGAGGGGGTTGTTTTATGTGCCATGGTCAGGAAGGTAACTGGCTGCAGGAGCAGAAGGCAGCTGGTGGCCTCACGTGTGAGCAAGCAGAGGGACGAACATTGGAGCTCAGCAGCTCTCACCTCCCTATTCATGCTGCCCAAGGCGAGGCTGTCTTGCCACATCAGTTAGCCCGGTTTGGGAGCCTCACAGCCGCGCCTCGGGATGTTCTATATCCTGTCAGGTGGACAATGTAACTGTTACACGTATAAAACACAAGACAACACCAACGAAACAACGTAGAAAGTCGCATGGACAATAGGTGGTACAGCAGGAGGAGGGAGGTCTGTGCACTAAGGCCTCACGCCACTCTGTGGTCTGTGGATCAACTCCGTGGTCATTGTCACAGCGAACAACTTCTAAAGAGCTTTAGAATTACCTCAGGGAGGTAACAGGTGAGAGGGGAACAGTGCAAGAGGGGAATGAGTGGGATGATGTTCCTCCATGGTTAGGATGCTCCTCAGCCAGGGTGCTCCTCAGCCAGGGTGCTCCTCAGCCAGGGTGCTCCTCAGCTAGGGTGCTCCTCAGC